CTTAATTACAAAACTACAGAAACTGTAGTGAAGACGATATTTCCATGGCATTGGGGTAGACGACACACGTTAAATTGTCAGGCGCTCACATCTGCCTGGCCCCAGCTTAGGGATTGATCACTATCCCTCAAGGAGCCAGGAAGGGGCCCCAAGTGCCCCCTATGGTGAGAGGCCTGGACCCAGGAAGAGTTGGAAGCTGGGCTTGGTGACTGTGACTCTTGGCTTGGTGAGTTGGTGTTTGGAAATAAAAATGAGAGCAGCTTCATTTCTGGACAGTGGTAGGGGGCCATGGCCTACTGCTGTCCTCTGGTCTTCAATGAAGCCAAGCTAGTTCCTTAGACAGGGCCTTGGCAGGGATATGGTGGGAGCAGGAGGAATATGGTAGGCCTGAGCACATGCCAGACTGCAGACCCCATGGTTTTAGGGAGGCTAATGGGGCCTGGTCAGGAAATCAGCAGCTTTTAGACCTCTTAAAATAATCTGGGAGTATCTGAAAAGGGTGTGCAAACATGCACAAAGGGTAAGCACGCACATAAAGAAGGCCTAAATCCTTATCATGTTTATTGTTATGTGGGTAAGGTTGATAGGGGTTGCCGGGATGAAACTTATGTCAAGCAGAAATTTCCTGCCTGAACCAAGGTTTCTTCCCACTAACTTCAGGGAGAAGTAGATGGCAAGGTCCTTGGCTGCAGGATTCAATGGCTTTTTCACTGTTACTCCACCATCTCTGGGTCTTGTTTTTCTCTCATTTATTACAGGAAAGTAGACCCAGGGGCACAAGATGTTAGCCAGACCATAGCCATCCCTAGGGACACGTTCCCAGCCCTCACTGGGATGTGCACTTTTGAAATGCAGGTGACCAGAGGGTGAGGATGGGGAGTCGTCCTATGGCACCAGTATCTCCCAGATGAGGGAGGGGAAGGAAGTAGCTTCTCCTAATGTCTCTCCTGGGATGGGGGTGGTGGTGAAGAAAAGGGTAGGAAGGGGTTGCTCCAAGGGGACATCAGAGCTTCCATTCAACGGGCAGGACAGCCCTTCCTCATCCTCAGTGGAGCAGTCTCCCATCTATCAGCTGTATCACCTGTACTTCCCCAGCCCATAGGGGAAGGTTGAGGAGAGTGACAATTTTATTGGAAGTGTAACAACGGTGCTACCCATAGCCAAACAAAATCATCCCTTTCTATTCCTGAACCTTCATGCACTTCTCAGCTTCCTGACATCCCATCACCCTGGACTCATGGTCATTCCTCAGCAGAGCTCAGTGCTGTGCTGGAGAAGGCTATGTGCATATACATGGGGATGCCATGTCACGAGGGTCTACAAGGTAACTATTTTGGGGAGAAGTGGAGATGAGGCTTAGAGCCATGATACCCTAACTCCATGGGCTTCTCCTAGCTGGCACCAGCCATATCCCTCAGGTATCCATGTGACCCTGGTACAGAATAACAGCTTGGTGTCTGTGATCTATGTTCTCAGACCCACAGTGGGGAGTAAAGTATAATGTAGATGGGGATGGGGGTGGGGCAGGGAATAGTGCAGTACAGAAAAAAAGATGTCAAGCTTAGACCATGGCTGTTCATGCTATCGTGGGAGTTGATTTTACCAGTTTGTTGATCGCTGTTTTTACCTGGAACATCTGCTTAGAAAGTTCAGTAGTGGGGGGAGGGGAAGGGAAAGGGAGGAAACTAGGATACAGTTGGATCATTCTGTTTCAAACTAGTAAAGAATTTACATCACAGTTTACTCTTTTTGTTGTTATTGTTTTTGTTTTTGTTGTTTTTGAAACCACAAACATTCCAGGACCATACCATAGGAGTCTGATCAATCAGAGTAAGAGAAAGCATAGCCGTTGCATAGTAGTAAATGAACAGAGACAGTGAGTTCTTTATTTACAATTGTTGTCTAGATAAAAAAATTCATAAAAACAGATGAATGGACATAAATTATTACCCCCTAATGGGATGGATGGCCAAATGTACCAGGGTGTTGTTTATTGTTGAGCACAAACTCCATGCGGCCAGGGACAAAGGGCAGGATGCAGGTGGTGGATGTACTGGGCTGAGCTTCAACCAACCAATCATGGTCTCTACGTGCCATTTGTTTGGAGCTATTGTTCCCAACAAGAGAAGACCAAGTGGAAAAGGAGACCGGGGTGCAAGACAGAATGGTAGGTATTTGCGAAATTGGATATTACTTTGACAAACTTTCTGCCCCTCCTCTTCTCCGAGTATGCCCCACTATCAGTCCCCCAAACCCGCCCAGATTTCTGGTTCCTCTTGGAGAGAAGCCCAGTGTGATATGGGCTTCTTGACTTATAGGAGGCCACTGGGTGGAGGAAATAGTGCCACATGTAAGAGGCTAATCCAAGTCTGCAAAATGGTTCCCTAAAGGTTAATGCTCTTCCCGGGTGAATGTGAGCGTTACTGAAGGAAAGAGGAGGTGGTTGGGAGAGTTTGGAAAAGGAAAATAACTCATTGCAGTTAAGAGAGAGAAACGAAATCAGGTTCCAGAACAGACCCATTTCACAGATGTGTAAGTCCAAACAACACCCTCCCCCTTCCTCATAAGTAGAGCAGAGAACAGGATTCCCCCTCCCTCCTCAATCCAATACATGAAAACTAAGGTTAGATTTCACATTTGCAATGTGGAAATGAAACCCTGACTACGTTGCCATTCTGAAACATCAGCGATGTTTTCATTGCCAGTCTGTTTACAGTTGACATGGGGGCTCTGTTCTCGATTCGAAAAGAAAGGGGTTTGTAGGCCCTGCTGTCCTAGGCACCAGCCCCTTGTACAGGAAGGTTTAGACCAGACAGGGGAGCTGACTGTGGACCGGATACATTGCTGTTCTGCCAGCAGTGTTTGAAGACTGGCCACCCCAGCTGGGAAAGGCTCTACCTAATCTTGGCCATCTGCACAAAATAATGCTCCTTCTTGGCCAGGATGCAGAGAAGATTTCATCTGGTTTGCCAAGTTCTAGGCTCAGAGGAGGGGCCTGACAGATGGCAGGGTGGGTGGGGTCAGCAGGGCAAATTAATTTCGCAGGTGAGTCAGAAAGTGCTTTGCTTTTCCTTGACACATCTGCCATCACCGACCATGTTATGTATTCAAAATGTCTTTTGCACTGTACAAGTTTATGGAAAAAAGACTGTGTGCTGAAAAGTCTCAAAGCAAACTTTGTATTAAATACAAAAGTTCTTTATGAAAAAAAGCCGTGGCCCACAAAGTGCTTAGCATTCAAGTGGCTGACGTAGCAATTCAAGAAGCTCATAATAAGTTGATTATTAGTGTTGATACCATCCTGGGGAAAAAAAAAAGAAAAGAACTACAAAAACCTTTTCTCACCTGTGATACTGTAGGCTTTCAGAATGGCTTCCCTTGCAGGAAGGCAGGACACCCTGTTCAGTGGCTACAGTATATATTGTGATTACAGGAAGACAAGCTTTGTTTAAAAATCACACAGAGCACATTTTCAATATATGTATCATAAAGTTCATTCAGATTTGAATAGTGCAGGGGGGTGGGGTAGGGTGGGTGGGGGAAATGGATAGTTCTCTTCCAAAATTAAAAAAGAAAAAAAAAGAAAGAAAAGCAGCAAGCTGCAGTGATTCTCATTCAAAATGCCAACAGCTCATAAGCTGTGAATAATAAGAAAATCAATTTCTAAGTGACTAACTGAAAAAAAAATCAACACAATAGAGTTCACAAATTTCATCACTACTTTGATCTCCATATAAAGCCAAATATAACTTATTTTTCAAATGCTCTCAATAAACTCAAAGGAGTTTCATAAAGAGGAGAGTTTTCAAAAAAAAAAAAAAATTCCATGGAAGCCATCCTAATATAATGGCTACCAAGGTGGCCTGTGGCCGGTGAGGGGCATACTGAAATGGGCTGAGCAATTTAGTTATTTATTTATTATTTATTTTTTACAAAAAATAAACCTGATTGTTGCACATGGTGTTTTTTTTTTCCCCCGACAGAATCAAGCTTCCAGTCCCACGACCCAATGTCTGTGGAGCACATTCCTACATCCAATATGTTATATTTTGGCTTCTTTTGTCATTCACCAGCAGGAGCTACATTACTGAACAAAAAAAGAGCAGGCAAAAAATCAGAGCCGAGCTGTCGTAAAACATCGAGGATGCAATCTGAGAGGAGTATCTGGTGAGCTGAGCAGTCCTTATGCTCTCTCAGCAGGAAGTGTTCTTAACCCTACAAATAGTGAAGGACGTTTATCTACAGGTTTGTAAACAAATTACATTCTTCTTTTAAGACATAAATAAGTTAAAATAGAGCAATTTAAGCAAAAACAAGGCAACATGCCAGCAAAAAAAACTTTATATATCCATGTATATAGATATACATATATATCTACCTATCTATATGGACGTATACATTCTCGATGAGGTATACGTTGATATAGATACAAAGAAATGGATATAATCTCATTAGTGTCTATGAAGTTCTTCTGTCCCATTGGTATAACCCTACTGTGCAAGGTAAGCTTCCGCAACTTCAAAAAGTTATTTAAATTAATCTCTACAACTGAGACCATGCCACACAAGCAGTTCAAAAAACTCACAGACCAGTGAATTGGATAAATAAGCCTCAGAAAGGAGTCTTTTTTTTCTTTTTTTTTTCTTTTTTGTAGTTTCTGCCTAAGGAAAAAAAATAATAAACAAGAGGAGGACCGAAGAGTACAGTACGTCCATGCAGGAAGGTGGTGGGTGGGTTTGGTCTGTGTTTGGGCGGGCGGGAGCAAGAAAGGGCACATCAGGCAATTGCTCACTCCCAAGAACCCACATCAGGGATCCCGTTACTTGCCTCAAAGGGACAAAGAGCTCAAACAGCTTCTCAGCCAGAGAGAGGTTCTATTGGGTGGAGATATATTTCTCTCCCATTTTGTCTATTTTTATTTTCTTGGTGCTGTTTCATGGTTGAGTTTTCTGGGTTGGTTTGTTCTGAGTTGGTGGTGGCGATGGTTTTTTTTTTTTTTGTTTGTGTTTTGTGGTTTTTTTGTTTTGTTTTGTATATTTTGTTTTGTTTCGTTTTTTGAGATGTGAATGTTTCCCGCTAAAGCGATGTCTCCAGGCTGTGTATAGGACTCCCTGGGCTCGAAGAGGTAGCTGATTTGCTCGTGTCAGTGGTCAGATTGATCCCGCTATCGATTGCACTGTTGTTCTTGTTCAATGACGACGGCGGGCTCGAATTTTGCTTGAGAGCGGCATCTTCTTCCAGGTCAGTGTCATCAATGAGGGGGATGTGGGGCTGTGAGTCTTCTATCCTAAATTCAGGATGTGTCATGAAGTTATGGATGGAGGTTCTAGATTCAGGTTTTTCTAAACCTTCATAGAGAGAGCTACGGAATGCCTTCACGACGCGGATCTGGAAAGGAAACATTGGGAAATGGGTCAGAAGCACCAAACTCCAGAGATGGCTTAGGGTAGGGGGATGGTTTAACAGGCTGGGGGGGGGCCTTTGGAGGAGCACAGCAGAAGGGGTTAGGGCACAGCAGATGGCTGGAATCCAGTCGCTGGATGTTAGGAGCATCGATGGGATGGGGTGAAAGGAATGGGCTCAAGTTTTGTGCATTCACTTGGGGGTTGTGTGTGTGCACTTGTGTGCAAACATATGTAACTGCAACATCAGAATAGTTCCAGTCGCAAACCATCAAAGAGCTGATGGGAAGCAGGAGTTAAAGAAAGCATAAGTCCACTCAGGTGGGTGCCCATACCTAGTAGTAAAAGACCAAGCTGTGTTAATTTCAATGCACAGGTCGAAACCATGCATGGGGCTGGGAGGGGGCAGGTTCAGATGTGAGTAAAATAGGGTCGGCTTAAAAAAATAAACCAAACCTTTTTTTAAAAAATAAATAAATAAACCAAACATTGTTTTAAAAGAAACTATACGACATATAACGTATCACACTCCACACACAGAAAAGAACGAAATATTGAGACGGTCAGATGGGCCAAGATGAGAGACAACACACAACAGCCAAACTGAGAACAAAAAAACCCCCCAAACCCAAACCAGACGTAAAGAGTTTTCAGAGAAGAAAACCAGAGGCAGCCAGAAGCATGGGGGAGCCAAGCAGACAACGGTCAGGGGAAGAATCATGCCACGGCAGAAGGGAGTTTGGTTATCACACAGACACACAGAACTGCCACACCAATGCTACGCTTGGAGGCCTAGACAATGTGAACAGAGATTGGTCTGTTTCCAACTTGGTCTTTGCCTTCATGCATTTGGGAGGTAAACACTCGAGTATAGACTCAACATTCTGGCCTTTCATTTCAATTGCTTTGTAATTATTTATTCACTTCCTTTTTTTTTTTTGGCCAAATCCTTTACCCAGCCCCAAGATATCATTCTGGGGATTGCATAGGACTGAGTCACGTTCTTTCAATTTTTGTGTCTCAGCTCTGAACTCTGCTCATCAAGTTAATTTTTTTTTAAATTTTAAAAATTTAATCTATTGTTTATACCACCACTGTATTTCTTAATCTCCTTAAGGTAAGTTGTCAGCAATACCTTTTGCTCTCAAGTTATCTGTGAGTCAGACTCTTCCGAGGGGTCGGCTTCTCTCTGGTTAATAAAAATCAGGCCTTTGGGGAAGTGGCATCAACTCTTTCTGGCTAAGAAAGGGACAGTTCAGGGCCAAGTTAAGTCACAGGTGTGAGTGGATGGGAAGGGGGTGTCTAGGATGAACTTTCTTTCACTTGTAATTTGGCTAGAAGGGCCAGCCTTGATTTCTTGATTCAGGACTTGGGTGAACTGAAATAAGGTAGAATAACAGACTATTAGAGCAGGGAAGGGACAATGGAAACCATTTTGCCCAAGCCTTTCCTCTAATGGAGATAGAAACTGAAGCCCAGAGGGCCAGGGAAATGAGTTGTCCAAAGTCACAGAGCTAGTTAAGGGTAAAGCTGGAATTGGAACCCAAGTCCCTGCCTGAGTCTCTCGTTCCACTGCATTATGCTGGCCTTTAGGGAGAATAAACCAGTGCACTGAATCTTTAAAAATATGTATTGTGGCTGTGTAGCTTGTATGAAAGAGAACAGCAGGCAAAGGGACCACATCTAAGGCATCAACCAATATTATATACATACATCATCACAACTAATGTTTGCTGACTTGTTCTCCTCTGACAGGCTCTCCAGAGCTCTTTCTAGGCAAATGCCAAAACAAAGATTCACCCTTAGCCAATCTAGTCTTTAAGCATGGAAATCAGCCTCAGATACCTACTAGTTGTGTGACCCTGGGCAAGTCGTTTAACCTCTATTTACCTCAGTATCCTCAACTATAAAATGGGGATAATAGTACCTACTTCCCAGGGTTGTAATATGGATCAAAGTCAGATAATATTAATAAAGTACTTAGCACAGTGCCTGGAACATAGTAGATACTATATAGATACTAGCTTTTATTATTATTATTATTATTGAGCTATCAATCCCAAATTATTCCCTGTATCAGCTTACATTTAAATAAGCATATTATGTTATGAAGCATTTTCCTTACAAGAATTTTGTGGAATGATGCAAAGGGTATCTCCGTTTAATTATAATAATAATAAATCATAATAATAGCATTTATATAGTTCTTTAAGATTTGCAAGGTATTTTACAAACATTGTCTCCTTTGAACCTTATAACTCTTATAAGCTCTTATCTTATAAGCTCTGAGAGACGGTTATTTCCTCATTTTGCCAATGGTGAAACTGAGGCAGAGAAATTAGGTGATTCACCCAGGGTCCCACAGCTAATAAAGTGTCTGAGGCAGGATTCTAATTCAGTTCTTTCCGACTAATTTCATTGCTCTACTTGCTATGTTACCTAGCTGTGAGAAGGAAACTCAGTCACAGAAAAGTAAAGAGTCCTGCTCATGATCAAGAGGTTTATCAGCAGTGGAATTTGGACTTGAACCCAGAATTTCTGACTCTAAGGTGAGTATACTTTCTACAGCACTGTGAAAATCAAATCAATCAATCAATAAGTCAGTCAACAAGCACCCATTAGGCACTTACTATATTGGTCAGGCACTCTGATATTACTTTGGGCAAGTCTCTTCTGTTCTCTCTGGGTCTCAGTTTCTTCATCTGTACAACTAGAGAGCTAGACTGGATCATTCCTAATAATGAATACCCTGGGAGTGATTGTTTTCTAATCTAGTCTATCTTGTGAGAATGGGGAACATTCCATCTTTGGGGGAAATGTTGTCATTTTCTCAGTTCATTAAGACTGCTTTGTGTCTTGAGATGATCGAGGCTTTAAAAAAAGAACTCCAAGCCTTCTTCCCTACCACCAAATTAGTTCAAGACCAGCCCAGCCAATATCACAGTGATTGAAGAGTTCATGCAGGAGGATGGGGGGAATGGAATGAGATTGTCTCTAAGACTTTGGGATCTCCAAGTCATAATGTGCTTTTTAGACTCGATGGCAATGTGGAAATATGAGAACCCCCGCCCCGAAAAAAAGGGGCAATAGTGTTGGACTGTTTCAATGGGAGGCCTGTGTGGAGGCAGGGGAATGGATGAGATGATACTTTCAGCCCTAGATTAAGAGGTTCTAATTAAAATATAATAAAGATTTATTTATTGGGCATCATTGGAGCCTGAGCTCTCCTATGTGAGTAAATTTTCTAACTAACTAGAAGATTAAAATTTTAGCTGCTACATCTTTGCTTCAACTACTTTTGATAATTTTTTTTCTTTGGTACATTACATGCTTTCCCTACTTCTTAAGCATCATTTGATCCTTCCTGGATGTCTCAGGGTCATTATTAGGCATATAGGTTATTTTACTCCACCATAATATATAGCCTACTTCTGTGTCTGCTTTTTAAATTTGAAACCTCTTTTATAATTAGCTGTCAGGTGTCACTGTTGACTCCCTTTTATTTTTTTGTTAATCTAATGTAGGAAGGGAAATCACACAATGAAATGTGTTTGAATTGTCATTTTTCGGTTGTGTCCAACTCTCCATGACCCCTTTGGGGGTTTTCTTGGCTAGAATTAAGTATTGAGTAAGAATGCATAGTTTCTGAGAGTAGAAGGGGTTACTTCAGTGTCGGGACTTTGTTAGGGCTGAGATGAGCACTCAGGAGCCTGAGTACTCTTTAGGATTGGTAGCTATGTTTCAGAGCTTGGTGGTTACCCCAGAATCTGACTTCAGGATAACTAGAATGCTATGAAACTAATTTGAAGGGAAAAAAAATTTCACTGTTAGCTGCCTGTTCTACTCAAGGACTGAATGGACATGGCATTTTCTGACTCTGACCCTGGGCTAGGTAATTGTGAAGTTAAGGAAGGGCCAGAGCTCCCATCCCTGTGGGACCCTTGTGAACTATGTGGAGTTAGGCCTGGTCTGCAACTGACAAAGCTGGCTGGCAGGTGGGTAGGGGATGGGGAACACACACAATGAGATGCAGGCCCCTCCTTCCACAGGGATGGAGACAACATAAAGAATGAATTGCTCTGGACAAGACTATGGGGACAAGACTTTAGGAGCATCCTGCCACGCTGGCTCAGGTCTCCACTTCGTTCTTCTCCAAGGCTGAAATGAAAAAATATGGGAGGAAAAAAAGGAAAAAAAAAGCCTTTCCATCTCCCTCCCACATGCTGAAAGTCAGATTTAAATCAAAAAAATATCGATATTGCATGGGTCATGGGGTTAGGGGCCAGGTGAAGACAGAAGAGAAATTTCAGGGCTTTCTAATTTTCCTTTGGTCATCCGGAGAAATTAAAGTGAGACTCAACCCTTTCGTCTGCAGTGAAATACATCAGGCCTCTTCCAGGCTCAACAGGGAGCATTTGAGATTATACTCGAATGTTTACCCGGCTTCAAGGAAGCCAAGTGTCTTGGGATCGGTTCACATTCATGTCAGGCTCAAGTTAAAGACTCACAACCTCTTTTAATTTCACTCTCTCTTGCTGAACTCTCAGTCCAGGGTTCTCTAGCCCTCTAGGGAAACAAACACATTGAATATTCAGACAGTAGAGAGGAGGAGGGTACCGCAAAAGCAAGTCATTTTTCACGCTAGCGAAAGATCCGTAAGTGATTAGTACCAAAACGCAAACAAGAGGTCCAATTTTATTGTCTTTTATTTTTTCCCAAGAGATGCCGACTCTTTGCCCTAGCTACACTCTGAATCAGGAATCTTAGCGGGGAGAGGAGGGGCAGGAGGGATTCTGGTCCATCTGGTGGGTTGGGGCTTCGAGGAAGGTAACCGAGTGCCCTGTCGCAGAGTTTCCTCGTGCTGGCTTCTAACTTGGTGTATTCCAAGGTAATCAGAATCGGATTAGAAACCTATAAAATGCCAGGAATTTTTTAAAGCATGCTACAAACATGGTTGCTGATATAGAAGAGGCTTATTTTAAGATACAGAAGAGCTAATCTTAGCATTAAAAATGAGTAAATAAAAATAAAGGGCTTTTTTGTTGTTTGGTTGGGTTTTTTTTCTTTTGAAAGAGAGGCATTAATCATCTTGAATGAAAGAAGAAAGTGTAAAATTCTATTCTGGCTTCCCATCAGGAATCTTTCTTCCTACAAGGAGATGGGGGTCTGGAAGAGACTGAATCATCCTAGTGTGTTTTTGGCATCTTCTACCTGGGAGAACAGGGCCATCCTGCATTAAATGTGGGCTTCCAGAAAGGGTCCTCTATCCCAAATGGGGAATTGAGGAAGGGACAACAAACCACACACTCTGGCCTATGTGTAGCTCATCACACTGCCTTGGGGCATCAGAATCCACCAGGAAAGTGATTGAGATAGGGATTACTCCCCCTTCAAGGCTTACAATAAAGGCTCCTGCATGGCTTAATTAATGGTCCTGAAAAAGACAATTATGGCCTTTGCTTCATCACTGAGGTCATCAATGGAGAGGATAGGAGACTTTGAGCTAGGCGGGACCAGCTTAGAATCCAACTTCCTCATTTTACAGATGAGGCAATGGAGGCCCAAAGAGTTTCAGTGACTTGTCCCAGGTCACATAGCTGGTAATGTCTGAGGCAGGATTTGAATCCGGGGTTTCCTGACTCGAAGTTTGGGTCTCTACCCACTACACCACTCTGCCAGGCACCCCTTCCCTCACTGATAGCTTCTGGGGAAGATAATGAACTATGACATCAGGAATTTAGAGTACCAAGGCCTTCCGAGGCCTTTAGGGACAAACATCAAATGAATCTGAACATACAGAACAAACTTTAGTGAATATCATTGACTTTCAATTATCCAAGATGAGAGAAGAGAACAAGGGCACAGATAAGTCTCAACTATTTGGCTCTGTAACGCAAATACATTTGAATATAACCCGTGTTTAATGTGAAAATTAATAGTACTGACACCATATTTGAAAAGACTCAGCTCAGATGTTGGAAGGTTGCTCTAGCTTTTCAAAGCCACTCTCCTTGCTGCTCTTTTCCCTGGCCCCTACTCTAGGATCTGGATCATCTTTCAGAAATGGGCAGTACCACCTCTCAGAAAACCTTCAGTCAAAATCCTTTCTCTTCCTAAGCTTTCTGTCCATTTGCCTCATCCCTTTTGTAGGGATGAGAGGACATACTCAAAGGTTTTGGTTTAAAAGTCCTATCCGTCCTTGAGGAGATCACAGGCCACGATCAGAGTAGAGAAAGTAAAAATGCTGGCATTAAGTGAAGTAGGAGATATTATTGAATTCAAGAGGAAAAGTAGAGAAACACTGGCCCAAGGGTATGACTTGTTGGAACAAACATTGTAAAGAAGACTGGATTTTAAGAGAACTGCATTGAAACCAGGCTTTAGCACTTACTACTTGTATGACCTTACGCAAGTTACTTCTTCTTCTGGGTCTCCATTTCCTCAGCTACAAAATGAAGTGGTTGTACTGGATGATCTCTAAGGTTCAATCTAAGATACTATGGTCCTATGAAATAGTACCTATGCTGAATGACTATCAGATGGTCAATTCAATCCACATTCAGAAGTAAGGTTTAAGAAGGACCCCTGGAGAACTGTAGACCCGTGAACCTCATTTCATACTGGAAAGGATGGTGGGTTCTCTAGTAAAGGGTAAAACCCCTGAACATTCAAGCAAACAAAACCCATTTGGGAGAAAAACAAAAGGTGGTCTCTTCTAAAAGGTAATCATATCTTCCTAATTGGTTAGAGTTGTTTGAAGGGGATAACACAGATGTGGCAAAAGGGAAATCAACGGCTATATCTTCGGGGAAATTTTTACAATCCTTGAATGAAATTCCACATCAAAACCATGAGTCACTCGGGGATCATGAAGATTGATCTGTCATGGAAAGAAAAGCTAGGGCATTTCTTGAACTGTTTCTGGTCATATTTGATGTATATAAAGGGTTTGAAGGGGGGAAAAAAGCTTGCACAGTGAAATACTCAGGTAAATATCAGACAATGGTCATCTCTGTTAGGTGGAAGATGGCAGATGATGGGAACAAACTGAAGGAAGATTTTTCGTAGATTATTAAGAGCCACAGGAACATAGGCTTAGAACTAGAAGGGTCCTTCAAGACCTGAGTCCTATGTTCTATGTGTAGTTCACCTCAGGGTGTCAGAGACCACCAGGAAAGAGATTAGGATAGTGCATCCTCTCACCCTATAGGGCTTACAAGAAGATCTCCAAACTAGCCTGAATATCCTGCAGGTGACAAGGATAGGTCTTGCCTCACCATTGGTATAGATGTAGATTTAGAGCTAGAGGGGACCTTAGCAGTCATCAAACTCAACCCCCTCATTTTACAGTTGAGGAACCTGAGATCCAGGGAAGTTAAGAGATTTACCCAGGACCATAATCACTAAGTACCTGGGGCAGGATTTGAACTCAGGTCTTCTCATTCCACACTCAGTCCGTTATTCATTCTGTCACCTAGAGGACTATTTGAGGTTGTAAAGTTAGCAAGGAATGGTAGTCAGATTGAAAGTAGGAAAAAATATTTCAAGCTTCATTTATAGGACAATGCATCAAGGGCTAGTGGTCACTGCCTAGGAGAGAGCTGGAAATTATTGTAGATTATTTTCAGAACATATCAGGCCATTTATACTCTTATGGCCCAAAGCCCAACAAAGGAAAAGGATGGGGAAGAATAAGGAGGATGACATCCATTTGCTCATTGTGTGTCATAGTACAGACCACCTGAGATTGTAGGTGCATCTGTGAGTACCGTATCTCAAGAAAGCTCGAATAGAGTTGGACAGCATTCAAGAGAAAACAACAAAACTGATTGAGATGATCAAGCAATGGCCATAAAAGGGTGTGCTTAAAAAAGATGAGGCCTTTCAAGCCAAGACTGATGCAGATGGGTATGGGACCAGGGTCGGTATCATCATTGGACATACAAATAAGGACCTATTTCACTTAATTCAGAAGATGTCTAGATCTAGTGGACAGAAAAGGACTAGAAGACAGGATATATACAGAGTTTACAGAAGTATTGAATAAATTTGTGGATGATGGATGATGATTATGGGAAGCTGGAATGTCTGTGGACATCTCTAACCTGGAAACTGTCCATGAGGGGCTCACAAACTCTGATAGAGACGGTGAAAATGCTCACTCAGGGGAAATGATATTATCAGTGATATCAATAATAATTATGATATTAGTATTATAGGAAACATTGAAATCAAGAAGTTGATACCAGGGATGACAATCATGTCCCTGGGTAGCCCTGTCAAAGATCAAATCTTGGGCTGGAAGGGGCCATAGGAGAGATCTAGGTGTGGGAAGGAAGAAGATTTCTTACGTTCTTAAGACTACCTCAGTTTTTTATACTTCAAATGTACTGATATTCTTAAAAGTCTTTGGGACTGGATATATTTCTGATCCTTGATCAATATTTTCAAATACCCTGACATCTCCAGCAGACCATTCTCTGGGACTTCCTTTGTAAAATGGTAGAGTTGGCCAGAATGATGTATCTTTGGGTTTCCTTCCAACTCTGATAAGTTTCTGAAGCAGTGCTGTCTTCGTTGAACAAAAGGGCCTCAAAGCACAAGACCAATACCATCTGGGAGGAGAATGTAGCCAGGTTCTTATTCTGACAATGAAGGTAGAGTATTGGCATCAGTTTATAGAGGGCTCTATTGACTTTCTCATTTTTTATGGGCAGTGGAGATGAGGACTGGAGGTTGTAGGTACTGGAGTAAACCAAGTCAATCCCACTCCCAAAGCTAGACCACTAGTCAATAAGGCTGACTTTCTGACATGGTGTGAATCTCAAACAACATGGGAATCTATTTCCCTGCCCTTGTTTACATGCCAGAAGGAAGACTGTACGCATTGAAGGAAAAGGAGCACAACGGGGGTGTTCCTTTTCCTTCTCTTCATCCTCCTCTTCATTGTTAGTGATGCTTAATGAGGATTTTGAGAATCACCACTGACTAACCAAATCTTTGGCCCTATCTTCAAAGTGGAGATGAGGAATGCAGTTGGGCGACAGGGACCTTCCAGTCAGAGGCCAGCAAGCTTTTGGGACCTGGCACAAACCACAGGTCAATGATCTGAGGGAAAGCAATCTCTGCCCAAGGCTGATTCAAGGAAGGGATTAGGAACTGGAATTTTGGAAATATGTCCTGTTTCTCTTACTGGCAGAGTGGATTTCACTTCATCCCCAGGGACAGGAGAGCGAAAAATGGTGCTTGGATCCAGGACTGGAAGGCCCCCATGACCAACTCTATCCCTTGGAGCTGGTTATGATCCCCTGGCTGTATATTGTGTCCATCGACTGCAGCTCATTGACTGACTGTGATCCTTCTCATTGGCTAAGACCACCTGACTGACTGCTCTCTCCTTGGACTGAACTCCCCAATCATCTAGGCACCCCTGCCCACCAACCTACCCACCCGCTTGCCCACTGAGAGAGTTGGCATCTCTGGCAATTGGAGGCATTAAGAATTCACACTCACGCCCAGCTGCAGCAGGAGGTGTGCTGGTAGGAGAGGAAAGAACATTGGATAACGATACGTGGCTAGGGCTAGAAAGATTGGTTACATCCTGGCTCTGGCTTGTGACGGAGGACTGTCTCCTGAGAGCCCCCTGAAAGGAAGCGCCACTCTTGAAAGTATTGACTACTTCAATCTGCAACGGAGGAGAGAACGAGACAAGTTGCGAAAAGGATGGACACAACAGCTACACAACTGACAGGCATGACAACCAAAATAAGAGCAATAATTAATAATAATAATAATAATTAATAATAATAATAGCAACAATAACACCAGCAACAGCAATAATAATAATAATAATAATAATAATAATAATAATATCACTTAAATTTAAAAAAAAGAAAAAACAAATAAACACAAACTAAAATGTCTTAAAGAATTTCTGCCTAGCCCCACCCCCTTTTGGAGGCTCTAGACCTGAGAGTCCCCCAGCCTTGAAGGCTGCTCTGGTTGGTTTCTCCTGTGAACTACAGTTCTCTCTCCTAGTGAGGCAAAGGTGGGGAGAGGGGATGTTTCCCAGGGAATAAGAACTTCTTTCCCATCCCTAGCTACCAATGAGGACCAAGATAAAGCCTTCTCTAGGTTGCGGGTCAAAAGAGGAGGTCCTAGATGAGAGGGTCTTGGAGAATGTTGGGCACTCCAAGAATGCTTACACCTTGAACCCACCTTCCTCCTCATGGTGTGAGTCAAGTGGATTATAGGGATAGACTCTACCCTGAGCCCTGCTAGGATCTCCACCAGTATCCCTCATTGAATCCCACGGCTTCATCTCCATTTAGGATATGAGACTCTCCCACCTCCACCCCCAAACAGACATGGCCAGGTCATTTCCTAGATTTGTGGTTTGGGTGTATAGAACATTAGCTGTTTAAATGGCACCCCATATTGTGGACTCTGGTTTAATCTATAGTAAGCTCATCTATTGGAATCATCCTCAAATACTCGTGCTGGAAGAAGAGGAGATAAAGAAAAAGGCCTATCAGACAGACTGCCCCTTTCCTCCAAACAAGGTGGGAGCATTCACAGTTCAGCTGAACAGATGCTACTAGGGTTTGAATAATTGCAATTATAACTGACTTAGATAGCACTTTAAAGTTGGCAAAATACTTTACATACATTAGCTCAGTGAAGCCTCCTAATAACCCTGGGTGGTAGAGACTGTTGCTAGAGCTATCTTCATTTTACATATGACAAATCTGAGGTTCAGAGAGTCAATCAACTTGCCCAAGGTTCATGCAGGTAGAAAGAGACAGAGATGGGTTTCAAACCCAAGCCTTTTAACTCTCAAGACCAGGTTTTTTTTTTCCACTATTCATTCCACACACTGCCCCTGAAGCCTTAAAAAATGACTAAGGGAGATCCTTGGGAATGGTATTATCCTAGGTGTCCCAGAAGCAGCCGGGGCATTGGGCAAAGAATTAGACTCAGAACAACTAGCTCTCTTCACCATCCTCCATTTTTGCAGTTCCTGGGCAGTGACATTCAGACTGCTCACTCTCCACAGAGAGAACAGGCCAGATTCATTAACAAGAGTTCTGCCCCAAGACATACATGCAGAATCAAGCCTGGGGCATAGAACTGGGGAGACAGGGCTCCCTAGGCTGGGCCTTGTACCCTACCTTTGTCTCTACCAATGGTTTTACCATTTCTCCCCTTTTTGAAATTTATGGGATTGGGAACTCTCATTGTCCCCCAGGCTCTTGGGAGCCTTAGACATGATTTCTTCACTCCCTTATAGAAAGCAAGAGTGGAATTGGTAGGAAACAACCTCTGGCTCTTAGGGGGCAAAGGTTACTATAAAGTCTGGTGGTGAGGGCAAGAAAGCTTGGCTATGCCCTGGTTCTAACTGGAGATCCATTATAATAAAAGAAGCACATGTAATGGTGCCATGTACCCAGGATTATACCCATCCTCTATGTATGGTAGATGATAGCATTTCTCCATATGTACACATGCCACCAGTACAATCATTCTTATTTCTAGAGCTTTTTAAGGTTTACAAAGCATTTTCCTCATACCCCCTCCAAGGTAGGTGGTGTATACATTGATACCTCCACTTTATAGATGAGGAGATGGAAGCCCAGTTGCGCCACTTACTTGTGGTCACTGAGCTAGTAAGTGTCAGAGCACAGATTACTACCTGGGTCTTTCTGCCTCCAAAGGCAGAGCTGTTTCTAGTATACCACACTGCCTATGTATGTTGGAATATTGTGCATTATTCCCATTTGAGGTCCCCAAAGTTGTCGCATGGATAAACAACCAGACATTCAGAATCTCAACAATAAGCTATTGAACTAAGTTATTCATAGCAGTGTTTTTCTGCATTTGTGAGTACTACACATAGATTTCTGCATAAGTATATAACCTACATGAGTTTTTACTGGTGTATACACAGATGCATTTCTACATGTGAGTTTATGGGCATGTTTTGGTAGATATATGCATGGTTCTGTATATAAGCATGTTTGGGAATGAGTATATTTCATATGTATGAGTATATTTCTACATGTGAATTTATAGGTATATTTCTGCATGTATATGTCTATGCCAAACGGTTTTTTTACACACATATATGCTACATGTAAATTTCTGCAAGGGCAGCTAGGTGGTGCAGTGGATGGAGCACAGGGTCTGGAGTCAGGAAGACTCATCTTACTGAGTTCAAATCTGGCCTCAAACACTCACTCGCTATGTGACCCTGGGCAAGCCACTTCACCCTGTTTGCCTCACTTTCCTAATCTACAAAAATGAGCTGGAGAAGGAAATGGCAAACCACTCCAGTGTCTTTGCTGAGAAAACCCCAAATGGGTCACAAAGAGTCAGGCTTGACTGAAAGGACCCAACAACAACGACAAAAGTTTCTGCAAGTGCAGGCATCTGTGTGTTCCAGCACTGAGTACATCTCTACATGTGAGTTTATTTATGGGTGGGCTTTTCAGCATGTGCATATGTACTTATTGATGTTTTTGTATGTGCATAGATGGTACCCTGTGTCTCTGTGGGTGCATACATGTGAATGTGAATTCACTACATGTGAATGCACACACGTATTTCTGTAAGTCTGTGTCACTGTGTTTCTGCATGTGATTTAGAAGTACATTTTTGGATGGGGAGGTTGGACTTTAGGTTTAGAGTTGGATGGGATCTCATAGCCTCATCTATTTTATAGGTGGAGACACTGAGATTCAGAGACAGTGAGTAGGTGGGCCAGGGTCACAGAGGTTGTTCAGTCCTTTTCAGTTGTGTCTGACTCTCCATGACCCCATTTGGGGTGTTCTTGGCAAAGATAATGGAGTAGTTTGCCATTTTCTTCTCCAGCTCATTTTACGGAAGAGGAAACTGAGGCAAACAGGGTCAAGTGACTTGCCCAGGGTCATATAGCTTGTAAGTGTCTGAGGCCAGATCTGAATTCAGGTTTTCCTGACAGTAAGTGAGAAAGGATTTGAATTCAGATTTTCTGATCTCTAAAAACATCACTCTATCCCTGGGGCCATTTAGCTGCTTACTGCATGTGTGTTTTTGTGTATGTATGAGAAGGGAGTTTGCATTTGGGTGAGTACTTCCTGGATGTGTGGGCACATCCATTGCTGTGGGAAGGTATGTTACATGTAGGCCTTGAACCACTGTTGTGAAGGTCAAATGAAAAGGAAATACTTTGGAAAAGATGAAGCAGCCTACAAAGGACTCTGGGCTGGGTTAGGGCATCCCCCAGTTGGGTTAGAAGCCCCTGATTGTCATTTCCTCTTCCTTATCAAAGTAAAGTGGGGAATAGGGGAGAGGTTGGATGCGCCCAACTACCACTCCAAGCAACCACTGCCAAGTTCTCCCAGTAGAGACCCCAGCCCGGGCTTGCAATCTGGGACCCAACACTCACCTCTGAGAACTGATGGTCACTCAAAATAGCTGTGGGTGGAAGCAGCTACCCCCACTCTTCCCCACACCACCTCCAGCCTCACCTCAATCCTGCCAGACTCACTGAGGAACTCCAGCTCCCTCCCCTGAGCCCATTATCTGCTTCAGTTATTGCTACTGTCCTCCGCACTTCTACCCCTTCCCCAGCCTACTCTAATTGCTTATAAAGTGAAGATAATTAATTAGCCAAGGTGACAAAATGTCATTAGGGGAGGCCACTCCAATGGAAAATATATATATATATATATATATATATATATATATATATATATATACACATACACACATACATACATATATATATATATACATATATACATATATATATAAACCCAGTGGCTTTGTTTAAGAGGACATCTACTATGTGTCCTCAGAGCTAGTGGCAGACTCAGAGAAATGGGGACATCTCACCTTAGAGGATCTTGGGGCTGAGTGACCTATGAAAATAAGTCACAATTGGTGTAGGGGAGGAAGGAAGGGCAGGAGTATGGCTGATTCTGTAGTAGACCCAGCAGGATGACATGGCCCTTGGGACTGCCATTGGTGGTAGGAAGAGATTTTTACTACACTATTGAGGGGTCTGCTGATTAGGATTCTGGACAAGATGGTCATCCCTCTTCCTCACTTCTCCCTCCCCACTCCACCCAAACACTTGCATTTGCCAGAGGCCCTCATGTGCAATGCCCTGGTGTGAGGATGGAGCGTCCATCACTGCCCACAATGACTCTTGGTTGACCACACTGTACATACCTGAGTTTGGATTCTATTTAGGCCACGGAACCACAGGATCTGTCCACGTCGAAGTTCTCTCTCAGCATGATCAATCTCCTCCACGTCCTCATTGAGTTCTTCCTCAGGGATCTCCTCTTTCTGCGTGAGCCGTCCTGCCTCCTTCAGGAACTTGAGCCTGCTGGTTGGGATTGTGGCAATGACCTAAAAAGAGACAAGTGGAAATCCACAGAGGCACATTTATTCATTTGTGAATTAATTCATTCACTCACCAGTTCATTCATTTACTTATTCAGCCAGTCAAAAAACATTCATTAAGCACCTACTATGTGCCCAGTACTGTGCTAATTCAGTTATTCAATCAATGAGTATTGCCTTAGAACCCATTCTATGCCCCACATTTACTTCAAGATCAAAAGCCCGAGAAGATCTGAATAAGCAGAAGAGAGGAAGAATGGCATCTCAGGCAGGGATACCAGAATAGGCAAAGGCATGAAGGTAGAAATTAGAATGAGAGGGTGATGGACCCTTTAATGGTTGGCAAGGGGATGTACGTATATGTATATATGTATATGTATGTATACACACATATTTATATACACATACCTCCAGGGCATCTATGTGAAAGTTGAATTCAAAGGAATGAGATTTGTTATGTTTTGCTTAGTTCTTTCCTCCCATTTAGAGACGGAATTTGGGGAACACCATACCAGCAAGCAAGTCCTATGAGCCAAAAACTTTAGAACTAATTCCCCATGGCAGGGAGCCAATCTAGTGTCCCCCAAGCAAAATGCTGTCTTTTTCAGGAGAACAAGAGAGATGCAGCTCAGTTTCTCCAAGGTTTCCATATGACTAGTCTAGAGTTCAGAAGGACCAGTTGACTTCCTCCAATGGTCAACCCCCACAGCTCAGCTGGGGCAGGAGCCCCTAAGCTAACAGTGGCCTCTCTTTAGACATAAACTATTACTGGCTTTCAGTGCTACCAGAAGAAGGTACTAATCTCTACAGCTTGTAGAGTACCCAGTAAACATGAATCATGAGCTAAGCACTGCATGGGTTATTCATACAAAGGATATGCTGTATTGGATAGAAGGTGGTATGGGGTATGCTAACGAGAAAGCCTGACCTCCTAATTCTATTGTCAGACATCGAGTGTCTCTGCTTGCCCTTTATACAGAGGGGTAATTTTACGATGAGAGGTGGGCGGCCTTCATTGAAACCCTTCAATAACAACTCCGATTTTGGGATATTGAGGGGTCACAGTTGTCTGTACCACTGGGCTAGAACCCCCTGAGGTACTATTTTATATAAAAGAGGAAAATAGGAACTTTGAGGGTGATCCCTGTAAGCAACCAGCCCCAGCATAGATAGCTGGCTTCAGAGTTTCAGCTCTCTCAATTATTGCATGAGATCCTGAGCAAATAACTTCACCTCTGGGGACCCCTAGCCACCTCTCTAAGACTATAAGTTACAAAACAGGTACTGATCTGCTTCAGCATTTGGAGTTTCCACACCAGGAATTCTCCATACCAGTGAATCAAACATCCTATTGGTTCCTCTCTGACTAACTTCCTCCCCTAAAAAAAACCCCAACAACAAGAAAAACATCCCTTAGGACACAAATTCAGGTGCCTAGAATTTCTCACTTGTACCAGGTTTCCTGTATCAGGAAGTATCCTCAGTTAAAAAAAAAATGCTTACAAAGCTAAGACATGGCAGGTCCCTGGACTTGGGGACAAAAGAAGCCAAGGAATTAACAGAAAAGACTTGGTCTGAGAAGGTTTTGGTAACCGAGAATTAGAGGGTGTCAGAATTGGAAGAGACCTGGTGATCATCCATCCTATCTTGTTCAAAGGAAGAAACAGAGGCCCCAAGTGGTGAAGGGATTTACCCAAAGGTGTAATATGGTGTTAGGGGCTGAATTTGAAGTCAGATAATTTAGGTTTTAATCCTGCCTCTGCCCTTAGTAGCTGTTTCATTTAATTCAGTCATGTCATTATTCTCATTTGTGCAATGAGGCAGTGGGACCAGATTGTTTCCAAGGTTCCTTCAAGTTCTAGACCTATGATCAATCTTATGAGTAACTTCAGCAGAGTGGGAACTAGGGTTTGGTTTTCCTAACTCTATTCAATTTAACTCAAGGAACATGTCTTAAGTGCCCGCTATATGCTAGGCATCATACTAGGTTTTGGGAGTATTAAGTCAAACATCAAACAGTTCCCATCCTCAACAACTCAAAAAGCTTCCATTCTCTGGTGGGGGTGTGATGGGGACCACAACATTTTCACAAATAAGTAAGTGCAAAAGGAATACTAAGTCATTTTGTACGTTGTGTTGAGGTCTGGGGGTGGGGGATCAGGAAGGAACTCTTGCAGGATGTGGCATTTGAGCTGAGCCTTGAAGGAGCTGGGGGCTAGTTACAAGAGGCAGCGACTGCCAGCTTGTGTTCCAAGCTGAGAACAGGAACCTGCCAAGAAGAGCTTACCTGACCCCAGACAAGCTCTCCTAGTCCAATGAATATACACCACATCCACTGGTCAAGCTGGAGAGGAGAACAGCTGAATGGCTTCCCCCCGAACTGCACAATGACTATCTGGAGACAAAATTGGAGACACAAACCCATCACCAGGAGAAGCACAAGTTTCATCTCTCAGAGTAGGGACTGAGACTTCCTGCTGGCAGGGGGCCAGGTGACGTTCTTCCAATGAGGATGCCCCGGGGTCCTGGTTACCTGAATGGCGAAGGTGCCCAAGACAATTGTGCAGAAGATGGGGTTCCTGAAGATGCCATCAAACACATTCCGCTCCCCGTGGATTTTCCGGGCGTTGATTTCATTGAACAGTTGCATCATGACAAAGGTATTGAAGATGATGGTATAGTGCTCAGAGGGAGGAGAGTGGAGGGGGGCATTGCGTCCACTGTCAATCATGAACATTTTCTCTCCTATAGAAAGGAAAGTGTAAATAAAATCAAAAGGGCCCCAGGGACATGAGCTGTGTGACCTTGGTTCAGTTCCTTGTTTTCTCCTTGCTTCAGTCTTCTCATATATAAAATGAAGGGTTTACACTGGATCAACTCTAAGGTCCCTTTAGTGCTAACATTCTCTAGTTCTACTATGGCCAAGTGGGTGTTACAGTGGTGAAAGGAAGTGGAAGAGGGAGGGAAGAATGTAAAAGGACATATGAAAATAAGTCCTTTTACAAAAGTGGTTCACAAACCTTTTCCCACCTCATAGCACTTTATTCTTTGCCATCAGTAGGGAACTGTAAAAATGCTCGTGTGCTTGCAAGTGAAACTTCCGTACATTTCATAAGAGACACTTCCCGCAATGTTGACTCAGTTGCTTCAATGAATCTCATCAGTGTGAATGTTCCTACTGAAGTTGTAGGTCAAAGTATTTCTCTCCATCTTGGGCAACTGTTATCTATAACCTTCCACAGGTTCCCTGAAGGAAGTCTACCCTGTGTACTAAGGGACTTTCTTGACATCTCAACATTTTGAGGATACCAATGGAATATACAGGCTATTCATGGTCTATCCCTCACTCTACTCATGTGATTACCCCATCTTTTTTGATAATACATTTCCCTGATGAAGTCTTTTATTCTTCTTCTTCAAGATTACTCATGTGTTACATGCTGCAGCCTACTCATGCCTACCAGGCACCCATTCATTGCTTCATTTTTATTTCTACAGAAACTATATTCCTCCAAGACTCACAAGCATATGACATTGGTAGCATATTGACATTAAAAAGCTAGTCCTTTGTTTCAGGGAGAATTCTGTTTGGGATCACTAAAGGAGCTTTGCAATTTCCCAAAGAGAATCTTGCCTGCTTTCCTCTTGTTCAATTCTGCATCCAACTAGTTGTCCATAGTACTACCTATCAATTATATACACATACACATTTATGTATTATACATAAAATATATATGTGTACATATGTATATATGGGGAAAGAGAGTGGGAGAGGAAGAATGGATGAATGGGTTCTATCTAGGTTGTACATTTAACTGTATGTCAATATCTAGGTGACAGAAATTCTTTGTCTTCTTGGTTTCCCCTACTTGGATGGTTAAGTCAAACTCTTTTAAGTGGTTGTGGTGCCATCCATCTATAAACAGGAATATCTGAAGGACCTCACTATCCCTAGGGAATCCTTCTTTAGCCTGGACTCTGCACTGGATCAACTCTATCATATCAACAAACACCCTTAATAAGCATATGTCCCCCTATTTTATGCCTCACTTGCCACGTAGGATCAAGATGATATTCTTTTGTTATATCTATTAAGTAGTTGGATGTATTGGTGATAGATACCTTGTCCGAAGAGAACTTTTAAAGTGGTGATTTGTTCTACTGAACAAATTTTTTTTTTAGCCAATAAACAATTAAGTACAATGGGAGCTTATCTTCTTTACAACTTTCAGCCAATTGTGTAGTGAGAAAGATAGAGTATACTCTATAGTATTCCTTGCTAAAGCCTGACTGTTCACTACCAGTAGACTTAATGTGTAGATTTTGAAAAAACTTGTGAATTTTTATATAAAATTTTTATAAAGTTGTGAAAACAGTTATGCAAGTCAATAGCTTTTGCATTTTCTCATTAACTTTTTAAAAATAGTAAGGGCTGAAATTTTCCCTATATCTTTGGTATCTTCTTCTCCTACAGATATCTTGAGAAGTGGTCTGGTATTATTCTCAAAATTGTGTTGCCTCCATCACAGGTCTCCTCTATGTTACTTGGCCTAATTCAGCCACTTTCCTCGTATTATTCTTCTTAGTGTCACTTTTAATTCCTATGTAAATATATCCAGGACTGTGATGTCAAAGTATGAAGGTTCTACTGTTTTGATGGTGAAAAAGTTTGTTATAAAAATGCAGATCTTTTCCATTTTTATTTCATTTGTTTCTTCCCTTCCATTGTTATCCTTAAATAACCTTGTGATGACTTTTCTTAGTTGGTTCTCTTACCAAACTTTTGTTTAAAATTGGTTTTACTCCCACTGCTTCTTTCTATTTTATGAGACAATATTGCACAAAGTATTCCATCCTCCTCCTTGAGGTTTTAAAAATGAGTCTATAATCTAAGTTAGTATTGCACTTGGCTGCCATAGCTCTACTCTTGGCAAGTAAATCAGTTTGATGACTAGAGTACTTTTTAGGCTCCCTGTTCTTCCTGTTACAGCTGTTGATTTCTATCACTTAAACTTCTATATGAAATTACTGTAGTCTGTGTCTATGTGCTTTCTAATGTCCACATCCCCTTTTTATTTTTAATAACTTGCTTTAATTGCATTCAAATCTTACTCATACGTTTGTTCTTACTTCCAGCTTTGCGCTAATTTTGATATTTGCTCTAACAAATTGGTTGTCTGACTATACACTGACAGCTAATAAAGCAAAATTATTTTTGATAATGTTATTCAATTCCTCGTCCAGCACCTTCCCATTCTTTTCTTGACAATTGTGTGCATGCTATATAGGCAGGAGGTTTTGTGTAGCCTTCAAGCCTTTGGCCTCTCTCATTCCCTCTTCCTGATCTAATGTATTCTCATCTTCCTGAACTATTTCTCCTTTTCCTTTAAGTCTCAAAGTGCTGGACTCTGTGTTCATTTAATTTATAGGGTCTTATTAAATTCTTTTTAGAAATTCTCCTCTTCATCTTCTTATAAGCTTTAATTTCATGATAGCCTTTTTACACATCAGAAGTACTGCACTGAGATGATCAAATGCCTTCTCAAGTGGCATTTCTTACTGCTTCTGTATGCATAAAATTAAACCAACTCTACCAACTTTTTTATTTGCCTCTACAAGATGAACCTGTCACACAAGTTTCCTTCCATTGTAACTTCCTTCTTTGTTTTGGTTTCATTTATATCAAGACTATTAAAATTGCTATGACTCATTTCCTCCAGTAGGATGTGCACTCAGTAATTGGATAAGGATATCCCACTGAACCTACCAAGAGCTAAATGAAGAGTTACAGATGACTTGAAAATGATGTCATTTTTAGCATCCTCTGCCCTTTATTTCCCATGATTCTGCCACCTTCATTGCAGAAGCAAAGGAGGAGCTGACAAAACCAAGGATCATATTGGATTTTCCTTTGTTTCATGGAATGACATGGCCAAAGTGTTCAATACCAAGTGGCCAGCCTACTGGTGATGAGCCTCCCTGCACTTAGCTAGGTTAGTCCTTAAATAGAAGATTTAATCTGTTTCTGAGCCTCTACTCAAAGGTCTTTCCAGCATGGTAGAACCTTCCAGAGCTTTTGCTCTGCTAGCATTACTGTTGAGAACCTAGTCACTGCCACTTTATGATGAGGCATCTGAGTTAGATTTTTTGATGTTCTGAAGTGACAAGAAACTATTAATGACTACTTTTTTGTCCTTTCTCAGTGAACATACTTCAACACTAATGGACTTATAGGAAAGCAACTGGAGAACAGGCAGCCTTTGGAGTCTTTCACTAGGTCTTCATAAAAGGGTTTTCTTTCTTTTTTTGTCATTCTTAAACCCAAGACATGGGAGGCATTCTGGATGGAAGCTGGTGTGTAGGAATGGCTGCTGAATCAGGAGGCCTTTACACTGGTGTGAAGCTTGAGTGGGTCACTGAACTTCTCTAGACCTCAGTTTTTTTTTTCTCAGTAAAATGGAAGGATTGGGCTAAATGTTCTCTAAGACCCCATTCTATCCCTAGAATTCTGTTCTAGGTTCTAATGTTCTGAGCCTATGACTTAAGGATTTTATGACTGATGTGGACAAGAACTTAAGCATTCCAGAGGGCCACCCAGTGACTCACCAACAAAGAGCAGGGTGAAGATGAGTGTGAGCTGGTAGACTGCATGGCCTAGGATATTCTTCATCATGGTGCGGGAGATGAGTGGCTTGTTGCGGCCGTATGGCTTACGCAGCAGAAGGGACTCTGTGGGTGGCTCTGTGGCCAGGGCCAGGGAGGCAAAGGTATCCATGATGAGATTCACCCACAACATCTGTACAGCTTTTAGGGGAGAGTCCTGGGGACAGAAAGAAGAATGAACAGTCACAACATGGAAGGAACCAGGCTGGGACATCTCTGGGTAGGAAAATATCCCATTCCCAGCCACCCATTCCCAGGATGAGGTATAGCAGTTTCTCTCAACAGCTGTGTGTGTGTGTGTGTGTGTGTGTGTGTGTGTGTGTGTGTGAGAGAGAGAGAGAGAGAGAGAGAGAGAGAGAGAGAGAGAGAGAGAGAGATGGATGTTGACCATCTTCTGCAAATTCCAGGATCTTAAGCTGGAAGGGATATCAGAGGACATCAAGTCTATTCTCATCCTTGTATCTTTGTAACAGAGGAGGAGATAGAGGTCCAGAATAGAAAACTAACTCAAGGTACTGAGGTAATAAATAACAGCTGGGTGCAGAATCCAAGTACTCTAATTAAAATTCAGTACCTTTGGCACTATACCATAGACTTAATAAGAGTAAACTTGTTCCATTTTCATAGAAAACTTGGGAAATCCAAAAAACTATGAGGCTCAAAGAAATGGATCTCTAGTGGTGGAATTCCCATGCCTGTGACAAATAATCTGGGAGATAATTTTGGGAAGGAGGCTCCTTTCACTCTATGCCACATAGGGGCTTCTTAATATATCTAGACTGAGGTCAATCTTGTTCACTTTTCTGGTTTCAGAGAGGAATTTTCTAAGCACCTTAGTGCAAATTTTAGAGCTCAGAGATAATTTGCCTGACTGTTTTCCTTCCAAGGTTCTTTTTTTTCTTTCCTCAGTATCAACTGATCAACAAGTATTTATTAAGTACCTACTATGTGCCAAGCAGGGGAAGCTAGGTGGTACAGTGGACAGAGCACTGGGCTTGGAATCAGGAAGACTCAACTTCATGAGTTCAAATCTAGCCTCAGACACGTCCTAGCTATTTGACCCTGGGCAAGTCACTTAACCCTGTTTGTGTGTTTCCTCATCTGTAAAATGAGCTCCACTCAAGTATCTTTGCCAACAAAATCCTAAATGGGGTCACATAGAGTCAGACACAACTGAAACAACCAAACAACAACAGTAATATGCCAAGTATTGTGCTAGGTGTTAAGGAGACAAGTATAAAAAATGAAACAATCTCTATTTTAAAGGAATTGATATTCTAGTGGTAGAGATGACAAGTACATGTAAACATATATGTGTACACAGTATAAACATAAAGTTAAAAAATAAAAATATATACAAATTTGTTAAATACAAGGTAATTTAGAAGGGAAGGCACTCAGGAAAGGGTTCAGGGAAAAGATGGCACTCAAGCTGATTCTTAAAGGAAAAGAGAGGAACTCTGTGAGGCAGAGGTAATGAAGTAGTATATTGTAGGCACGTAGGGTGGCCAATGCAAATATAAGGAGATGGGAAATAGTGCTGAGCATCAGGACCAGAAGGAAGACAATTTTGACTGGATCTATATGCGGGAGAGAGAGAATAATTTCCAATTAGTCTGGAAAGGTTGGTTGGGACCAGATTGTGTGGGGCTTTAAAAAGTAAACAGAAGTTTATATTTTATCTTAGAGATCATAGGAAGTCACAGGGTTGGTGAACAGAAGACGATGTGGTCAGGTCTGCACTCAAGGAAATAAAGCCTGAGGCTCTTTAGAATGAAGTTCCCCAGCTAAAGCAGTTAACTGCCTATAGATTTGTCATCTTGTGTGATGTAGTGGGCAAGGTGTGGTGTGATGGGCATCGTGGACAAGCTTTGGATTTGGCACCAAGAGACCCATTTTAATTCTGACTCTCATACTAGCAGTGTCATTGTGTGCAAGTCATTTCATCTTTCTACGACTCAGCTCTGTTTACCATAAAATGAAATGAGGGAAGAAGTCTAGTTATTCTCTAAGATTCCATCCAGCTCTAAATCCTATAATCCCATGGAATCTTATGTCTTTGGATGTTGGTCACCAGGGCATTATACACATGCCAACTTTAAATTAGCTGGAACAAAGGAATATCCCTGCTCAACCATAGCTCAACTAAGATAGCCCTTAGTTTCCTCCTTGGCCCATCCAATGAATTGAGGAGGGCTGTTATATTTCCAATGATAGCATGGAACTGTGGAAAGAGCACCAGCATTCTTTATAGTTTATAAAATGTTACAGTTTCCCAAATAGTTTCCTCACAACAACCCTGCAAGATGGTCAATAAAAGTAGCACCACTCCCATTTTACAGATTAAGAAACAGAACCATAAAAAGTAAATGCCTTGCCCTAGGCAATATAGGTAGCAAGTGTGTTCACTGAACTTTGAGCCTTTACCCTCTTACTCCCAATCCCGTGTTCTTTCCACTTCACCATGCTTCCTCTCATCTCCTACAACTGCAAGCCCAGACCTCTTCCCACCCTACTATGCTTGACATTCTAATTGACTGAGTCTGATTATTAGTCGCAATAAGTATAGATGGCCACAAACAAGAAAAGTTTTGAGTCTAACTGAGCCACACAAAAGGGAAATGAAGGCTTGCCCATGATTATGGCTAGATGCAAATCCTTGGGAGAAGGAAAAAAAACTTGGCATTTCTTAACACGTAAGTATTGGGGAAGCAGACACTAGAGGGTGCTGTTTGTCCATTGACCTAGGAGAGAGGGTGCTACTAATAATAGAAAAAATCTCACCTTTAACAGCTCAGGCAGGGCTGTTGTGTCCCTATAACACTGCTGAGGCTCAGAAAGTACTCCACCTGAAGATAACTGCTTGGATGAGAGTCTGGTCCTGGGACAAGCTGTAGCCCTGGGCTATAGATTGCTGTAGGGACAACCCAGGGCACTGAGTCCCGCAAAGGCATCACAGCCCTCCAAGGGCTTCAAAGAGACCACAACATGACTTTTCAAAGTGGGCCAGAGACCTCCTGTGCTCAGGAGCATTCCCTACAATTGTGCTGGCCTGGCCTCCAACTATCCATTTACCGGAAATATAGATATTGTTTGGGCTGGCAGGGCACTCGTAACATGGCCGTTAGAGGGGACCTCAGAACACAGACCACTGGGGCTGAAAAGGAACTTTGAATACAGTGGTAGGGCTTGAATGGACCCTAGCACTTAGAAATCTGGGGCAAAAAGACTTTAGGACATAAAACATGGGAGCTGGAAGTAATCTTAGAACATAGAATATGAAAGCTGGAAGGAACTTTAGAACATCGATTGTTCAGGTGGGAAATAAGCTTCAGATAAATATTGGAGCTGCAAAAGACTTTAAAGGTATGCGAGTTCAATGCTAAACCCAAGAAGAGAAGAGCTGAGAATTCTGGTCATCATCCTGGAACAATTAGTGAAAGAATCTACCCTTGAGTTTGGGGGGAAATATGCACCCCAGCGCTATCTGGAAAGGCAGGGTGAGTTCTTTGGATGGCTTGGATGACCAATCAGTCAGTTCTGCTCTGTGTCTGACATGTAGCATAAAGCAAACCAAGGGAGAAATTCTTTTCTAGCCTCCAGCCCAGCGGATCTTGGGTTCCCCTAGTGCTTTCAGGGGACATGTGAGGTCAGAAGTATTTTCATCATAATACTAAGATGTTTTAATTTCAACATGGCACATAATTTCTTACTAGCTGTGTAACCTTGGGCAAGCTGCTTAACCCTATTTGTATCAGTTTCCTCATCTATAAAATGAACTAGAGAAGGAAACAGCAAACTACTCTAGTATCTTTGCCAAGAAAACCCCAAATGGGGTCACAAAGAGGTGGACGTCACTGAAGCAACTGAACAACAACACATAATTTCCCCTTGGTACATAATTTGGTAGATATAACCCTCATAAGCTCTTTAAGGGGCTCTTGAAAAATTTTTAAGAGTATGAAGTAAAAATTACATATTTAACATTCTTGGTCAGTGGTCACCAAGATGAGATGCATGCAATGCATGGTGCACAAAAACACTGATTCATTGGGGTACAAGAAGAAAATACTAAATCTAGTTTTATTTTGTATCTTTAAAAAGTTAAGCTTTACTAGCATTTAATATGTAAATTGACCTTGATGTGCTAATTCAATTTGTATGTTAGTCGTGGGGTACCTGTGGTATCCTGAGGAAAGAGTGGGAGTTCCCCAACACAGTGGGGTTGATAGTGGCACCCTCCCTTGTTCATTTACTTTCAGCATGTTATAACACAATGTAGCATAAGTGTGCAGTGAGGTGACTTTTGGGGTGCTGTTATCGAGTTTGGAATAAACCAGCCGTTATAAAATGAGCAAGTGACTTGGAATAATTCCTGTGGGGGAAAAAATCATGGATTGATGATAATGCTAATTATTGTTTGTTAGCACAAGCAAACAACAAGGAATTGCTGAGCTGACATGCCTACTCCTAGGACGAGCTCTTTGGAAGCCTCATTATGAGACAAAACAACAATGAGCCAATCAAATCTGACAAGAAGTCAGCCCAAAAGATTCAAAATTGCCAAAAAGATTATTTAAAATATGGATTTACATTCAATGTAGTTAATGAGGAAACTTGCCCTAAAATAGACTATGCCTTGAGATATTAGGTACAGCAATATGAAGCCTGTCCTTGGGCGTACTTTCCCTTCTAGGCTGTGATTTGTTCTCTCTGGATTCTGACACCATTCTTCCCCACATGGACATCCTCTTTATCTCCTTCTTTTCTTCCCACCCTTTTCAGCTTCCTTTTATGTGGTCTTCTTCTATTAGAAAGTAACCTCCGGGCAGCTAGGTGGTGCAGTAGATAGAGCACCAGTCCTGGATTCAGGAGGACCTGAGTTCAAATCTGGCCTCGGACACATAACATTTACTAGCTGTGTGACCCTGGGTAAGTCACTTAACCCCATTGCCTAGCCAAAAAAAAAAAAAGAAAGAAAAAGAAAAAAGAAAGTAACCTCCTTGAAGGCAGGGGCTGCCTTTCTTTTGTCTTTTAATTGCATCCTCAGTGCTTAGCCACTGCCTGACACATAGTAAGTGCTTAATTAATGCTTGTTGCTTTGCCTTATCATAGAATTTTCTGATCTGTATAAAAATCTGTGGAAATAAAGAGCTGAAGTGGATTTTGAACCATTTGATAAAAAGGTAAAAACACAACACCTTGGGATGAGTTTGTAAGAACAGCTAATGAACGCCAGGGAAGGTGGAAATTTACTAGGCAAATTTCAACAACGAACTTTGCGCGGTGGATGAGATTGAAAGATGAGGGTCATGCTTTGGTAAGTACAGTCACTGAAGCCCTACTTCTCTTTGGAACTTTTCAAATTATCTTTTTCAGGGATGACCATCATTAAAGCCAAAGATATGAACTTATTGTAAATCTAGAAAGATTTTGAAATGACTATGTTATAATTTGTTATATCAGGATAGTCAACAATGATTAATTATATTCAATCACATTGCTTTTACTCAAAATATTAATAATAATTTTAGTGAAAGTATTTTATGCCACTAATATGTAAAAATATGTTAATAATAGTATTTCATCTTCATCTCCAACTAAAACATTTAAACATTTCTATTCTTACATATTTTTATAATGTATGTGTTATATATATATATATATATTATAATGTATGTGTTAGATCCCTGCCTAAATTTACTTTTTTTGCTCATGGGGGAGGAGTGAAAAGTTTGGAAATTGGTTGTGTAGAAGATGGTGGAGTGTGGATGTGGCTACTCTACATTGACTGCTCATGAGTCCATACTATTTAAAAGCCCACATTCCAATTAACTGCCATTCACTTCAAGTTGGTCCTTAAATTCCCAAAAAGGGTAGTGGCTACATATTTAATCACTTAACAAGATTTCTCTTTCAGCTCAACTGAAGAATGTTTCACATTTGTCTACGAATCAATTTGGCCTCAGGCAGTCATTTCCAATAATTTTTGAAAATGATTTTCCCCCTCAAATTTCAGACAGTGACTGAAAGGAATGGAGACACAGCTTCTATTAGATCTATTGGTCACCCCACCATTTTGAAACAAAATGGCAGCCAATAAGCTTTTCCACACAGGACTAGTTATATTTTCTTATGGATTTCAGTGACAAATTTCCTTAACATAATATTTTTCAATGCACTTTTGCCACTATTACATCTTTATATCCTCGAGGGAGATATCATTCCCATTTAAGAGATGATGAAACTGAGAGAAATTAAATGACTTACCTGAGGTAAAATAAAGGGTAAGAGAAACTTGGTCCCCAAGTCTCCAGACTCCCAGTGTCTACTGCCCCATAGATTCCAATGCAGGTTAATAAAGGGGTGGTGTCACAGGAAGCTCTCCAGCAGAAGGAAGTTTGGGTTATGGAGGATGGAAGGCCTGTGAGGCCCTTCCTTGAGTGCAACTATTCGAGCCCACTTCTATCTGGTTCAGCCCCTCATCTGTTATTGAGGATGGAACTTTCGAAGTCCTTATTGACCACGAGTCCCCCTCTCAGATCTAGTTGTGAGTTTCTTATTTTGATACTGAGATCACCTCTCACCTTTATCTGATCACCTGTCATCTGCTTCTTGATATTGGGCTTAGGGGTATTGAATCCCAGACCTCCACCTGGTGGCTGGACCTTTCTGCTACTCTTCACTCCCCGAGTAGAAGAAAGCCCAAAGAGCACCGTGGACTCTCTTATTCCACAGTTCTAGTCATTCCCCAACCTCCTAGCCCCTTTCCAGGCACTAAAGTGATTAAAGTAGCATGTGGTCCACTAAAAACAAGGTTGCTCAAATATGGTTTGTCCTATCAGGTTTCACTTTGAGCCAGATTATCTCACTTATAGTCAGTAAATATGAGAAACTCACTGCCATAGGGAGAACAGCACTGCTCACTGCTCAAATATCTCAAATATCGGGGATGCCATTCAGGTTAAGAGTAATTCCAACAGCCCCACAGCCCTACATTTCTCCTTATTTAGCGCAGGGGAGAATAATACCTCTACGACACATTCTAAAGACCCAGTTTTGTTGCCAAACACTTGATACCGGAGGAAGGAGCAGGCTTGGGTCCTTGGCCCACTTACACGAGGTTATGCTTAACAAACACCTCTGCTTCCTTCTTCTCCTTCTCAGCTGATATTACCACTCTTGCCATGATGCCTCAACTTCCCCAAATCCTATCCTATTACACTTAAGTCAACCCTAGTAAAACATAAAGAACCCAGAGGGGATATTAATCAAGAAATACTATAGCAGCCCATGCATTGTACGCACGGTTTCCATCTCCTTTCCCAGTTCTCTAATAGAAATGAGGATGTGCCTGGTAACGTGACCAGAGCTTACCTGTGTGATGCAAGCACCCGTGAAAGCCACAATGACAGCTACCACATTGACTGTTAACTGGAATTGCAGGAACTTGGAGATGCTGTCATAAACATTGCGGCCCCACATCACCGCCTTGACAATGCTGCTGAAGTTGTCATCTGTCAGAATGATGTCCGAAGCTTCCTTGGCAACATCAGTACCAGCAATTCCCTGGGAGGAAGAGAGAGAACAAGAGAAGGATGGTCAAGGATATTCAGGGAAGCAAGGAAGGACCTCTGTGCTACAGGAACCTGGGAGCTGCTGCTGGATACAGACATCCCCGACACATGCGGGGATGCACATCCACAGAGGCACGAGAGGCCCCTTCGTGCCTGTGCCCACAGAATCTCAGAGTTATAAAGGGACCCAACTCATACCTGAACAAGAATCATCTCCACAACATACTCAGCAAGTGACCATGAAGCCTTTTCTCAGCCTCCAATAAGGGGGAACCTACAACCTCCCAAGGAAGTCCATTTTACTTCCAGAGAGCACTCACGGTGAGGAATTTGTTCCCCTGACCATCAGCACTAAATGTGATATTTTACAGCTTCCATCCATCACTCCTTTTTCAGCCTTTTGGGACCAAGAAGAAAAATATATTCCTTCATCCTCCTTCAAGTAATTGAAAACAGACATCATGTCTCCCATAAATCTTCTCTTTTCCAGGCTATATATCCCCAGTTCCTCCAACCAGTCCTCATGCTGCATGAACTTGAGGCACTTCACCATCCAGGTCACCTCCCTCTGGACTCTCTCCAGCTTATCAACATCCATCCAAAATGTGACACCCAGGGCCGAACATGATCCTCGAGAAATGGCGGACCAGAGCAGAGTACGGCCAGACTATCACCTGCCTAGTTCTGGACAGTGAGCCTCTTTCAATGTGGGCCTAAGGGCTTGGCAGCTCTCTTGGCTGTAAGATCACACTGCTGCAGTCCAGAAAACAAAGGTGAATACATCTACTGCTTACAGGCATGCTCAGCAGCCTATGCATGCATGTGCACACCTACACACACACCTCACTGCATCACCCAACCCCTACATACACACAGAGATGAGTCTCTCCCCCACAGATATGCCCAGCTACCTACACATAGCCCAACTGTCCTGCCACACATAGATCCCCTCCCCTTTATATATCCTATTACAGAAGATACACACAACCACTAATAAGATGGAATCATTTACTCCTCATTTGTATAGTCCCCTATATAAACACTCTCAGTCATCTCTTCTATCTACTCACCCCCACACACCTACATTCACAATTTTTGCTTCGACATAAAAACACACATTATCCACATGATATATACCCCTGCCCACAGAGAAACACTCAACCACCTACATATGCATACCATTTTTTCTACCACATGTACTTATCTGTCTAAGACACATGGAAAGTTCCCTACCCATGTACTGACTCTCAAAGCACATGCTTATATCATATGGTTTCCTATATGGCAATACACCACCAAAATACAATATCTTGGGTCTGACAGGCCTTGAGGCTGCATGTGGCCTTCCAGATCCTTAAGTGCAGCCTTTTGACTGAATCCAAATTTTACAGAACAAATCTTTGTTCCCCACTCCTGGTTGGTCTTAAGCTCAACTTCTACTCTGATAAAACCAACAATTGTGACTGAAGTATTTCAGAATTTAGAGCTGCTCTTCTCTCCTTCATGGATGAACTTCAGCATAAAACTGCTAAGCTTGCAAATGATTCAATGTCCAACTGACAGATACAGGATTTGACCAAGTGAACAGTGGAGAGCCACCTGAAGAAGGTATGTCTCTGTGTTAGGAAATTGTGGGGACCATAGGCAGCCTTCAACCATAGGCACAGCACATTTGAGCCCTGTGAGAGTCCAGAAGCCCATTTCCATCTTGGGAAGGCGGCTCTCTTCAGCTACTATGGAGCCTGAGCCTATCTGAGTACAAAAGGAGGCAGACATGTCTAAACTCCACATCCTCTGAGAAGGCTTCCACAATTCAATGGAGCAAATATGATCACTAGCCTATGCACTCCCTTTGACAATTTACTCCTCCAAAGGTACTGTGCTCATGGGCTTAGAATAATCTAAATATTTAAATATATTTGTCAGTTGTGTTTATTCTTCATATCTACCTGCCTTTGTCCTATTTGTATGTTATCTTCCAAAGGGGGAAGGCCTGTCTCTGCCTCATTCATTGAGCAGCATGCTACATTTAACAACTGGGTATGTGGATACTTCATCAGTGCAGTCTCATGATGAAGAGGAACTTGCTTCCATTTAAATTTCTTTCACCATTCTGAGAAAACATTGAGCCGGTGCCTAATTGCATATGGCGCTAGGCTGGCTATGGGAGGACTAGACATTCCCCATGTTGGACTCTAAACTCACCAAATACAGGGACTATGTCTTATGTAAATTCTCTCTTTCTCTCCTTCTCTCTCTCTGTCTCTCTGTCTCTCTCTGACTCTCTGTCTCTCTGTCTCTCTCTCTCTCTCCTAGTACCTAGCACACAGTAGACTCTCAATAAATGTTTGTTGAATAATATTGAAACAATAACTAGAGAACAAGTTCCTCCACAACCAGGCTCCTCCTAACCTATGAAAACCTTTCTTTCATTTCTCCCTCACATTCACTTTTCATTTTATTCAGGTTTACTAACTCCAACACTCCTTGCCCTACATCAGCATGCAAATCAAGCTCATTGCCATCTCCTCACTCAGAATGCCTTTCCTTCTCCTCTCTGCGTATCCGAATGATACCCTATCTTTCAAGACATCCCTTCTGTGAAGTCTTCTTTAAGAACTCCAAGCTCCCTGACTGATTGCTAGTCTTTCTTTCTTTTTTTCTTTCTATCTATCTTTCTAGCTAGCTATCTCTAGATCTCTATTTTTTGGTCTGGAATATATCGCAAGGTAGCTGACTGTGTTTTTTCTTGCGGAGTTTTCTAATTGCTCCAAATGCATTAGTTTTGTCTCCCCAGGTGGAATGTAAGCTTTTTGAGGTCAAGGATCATATCTGATAATTCTGTACCCACTTATGCCCAGCTTTGGTCTAAAGACATAGGAAGTGATTCATAAAGATCTATTGGTTGAAGAAAACTCTGGACCCCCAAGGCTGACTCAATTTTACTCTGGATCTCTCAGCAGATAAAAGGGGTGAGTGCACTCTGGAGGCCAACTCATGCCCATACCATGGCAAAGCCAACGTCTGCCTTCTTCAGGGCTGGTCCATCATTAGTCCCATCCCCAGTCACGGCCACGACCTGTCTCTGCTCCGTGTGGGTACTGTCGATGATGCCTGTGGAGAGGGAAGAAGCCTGGAGTGAGCAAGGAACATGAGGACCCTTGTCTGTCACACCCCTTAACAATATTACCTAAAATAGTCAAGAAAAGAAGTGGCCCCATTTTGCCCGAGGGCACACAGAGAGATAGCAGCAAAGCTAAGGGTAGGAGCTATGTCTTTCTACCCCTGGCCTAATGCTCTTTCTAGCTCATCACCTGGCATAGAATGGTGGTCTAGTAGACAGTGAACTAGGAGTCTGGACATCCACCTTCTATACCAGACTGATTCATCAACTAGCTAGGTGTCCTTGGGCAAGTCATTCCCCACCCCAACCCCCCATACTCAATTCCTTCATCACTAAAATTACTGAAGGCATACTAAAATGAGAATACTGGATTAGATGAACTCAAATATCCCTTCCAGCTCTGACATCCTATTGGTCCCTTTAAAGAATGATGAGTTCAGATTGAATGAGTCTGAAAATGATTTTGAAAAGAGATCTATATATAGTTTGGTTCTTTGGAAATGGGAACAAAACAGAGTCTAAATTTGCTAATGCTCTTGTGCTTTATTTAATTACACCTCTTTTTATGTGGGTATTTTAAGGAACACCAACCATGGTATACAGCCACAATATGACAAAGCGAGGGAGAAAGCAAGGCCCAGGGATCTTAACCACAGGAAGAACAAGAAAGGCACCATTTCTTAATGGAAAGAACATCAGATTTGGAATCAGAGAAGCTGGGTTCAAATCCTAAATCCTGATCCTGACACTACCATTGGACTTGGGAGTTTTATGAAGGCCTAAACTTGAATCCTGTCTCAGGGAATTATTAGCTATGTAGCCCTCAACAAGTCACTTAGCCTCAGTTTCCTCATCTGCAAAATGAGGTGGTTGGACCAAGTGACCTTTAAGGTCCCATCTGGTTCTTATGCTATGGTCCTATGACATGCATCAGACCCTCTCTATGCTTCAGTGAATAGTCCAACCCTACAAGCCTATGGTCTGTGATCCTTTTCAGCTCTGGATATATTATCCCTGGTTATACATGCATATGTTTTTTGCTTGATGGAATATAAGCTTCTTGAGGGCAGGGACTATTTCATTTTTATCTTTGCTTCCCCAGTACACAGTCAAGTGCCTGGTGCATGGTAGATGCATAGTAAATGCTTGTCGATGGACTGACTCATTAAATTGAAGGCACTGTTGATGGAATTTGGGGGAGGATATGGGATCCTGATCTATAGGGCTCTTTACTGACCAGGGTGGAAACACAACTGAAGTAAATGACAAGAGAGGTCTGGTCTATTAATAATTGTCTCAGAGATCATGACTGGAAGATGGCGGAGGGAAAGCAGTGACTTGCTAGAGCTCTCCCCCAAAGCGCTCCAAATACCTACAAAAAATGGCTCTAAACAAATTCTAAAGCAGCAGAACCCACAAAAAAACAGAGTAAAACAAATTTCCAGCCCAAGAAAACCTGGATGGCTGATTAGTAAGGTATATTGTGCCGGACTGGGAGAGGAGCACAGTTTGGCATGGGCATGCAGGCCTCAGGGACCCTGGAGCAGGCCTCAGAGGACTGAATTGTGGGCAGCTGTGGTGGTTTCCAGACTTCTCAACCCATGAACGCCAAAGACAACTTACAAGGTCAGTGGGAAAAGTCTGTTACTGCGGTGAGAGAAGAAGCTAGATCTCAGCTGCCCCGAGGGAAGCAGCTGCCTTCTGAGCTTCTGGCCCACAGACTGAGGGGGAATCGAGTGGCTGATCAGAGGGGGATTGCAAGGATCTCTTTGCCAGGGCTGAGGCAGGAATCTCTTGCTTTGCCCATGCTTGGATCTGGGTCACAGTTCTGAGGGACAGTCCTGGGGCGAGAAGGAACACTGGTGTGGTGGAGCTCGTTGTGGCAGTGGAGAGGAAACACCTCGCCCCTTATCATAGCACCTTGGAAGAACTGACACTTTTCAGGTCCCTAGAAGTATCTCTGAAAACAGCTGTACAAACCCCTGAAGCTTGGGACAGTACATTCTCCACATTGGAAACAGACTCTTACCTTAACCAAGAGTTTAAAACTCAAGTAATTCGTTAGGATCATAAGCAAGCAGCGCAAAAAGAGTCAGACTATATTATCTTACTTTGGTGACAAAGAAGATCAAAACATATAACCAGAAGAAGACAACAAAGTCAAAGCTCCTACATCCAAAGCCTCCAAGAAAAATATGAATCAGTCCCAGGCCTTGGAAGAGCTCAAAATGGATTTTGAGATGCAAGTAAGAGAAGTAGAGGAAAAACTGGGAAGAGAAATGAGAGTGATGCAAGAAAATCATGAAAAGCAAGTTGACAGCTTGCTAAAGGAGACCCAAAAAAATACTAAAGAAAATAACACTTTAATAAATAGCCTAACCCAAATGGCAAAAGAGGTCCAAAAAGCCAATGAAGAAAAGAATGCCCTAAAGAACAAAATTGGACAAATGGAAAAGGAAGTCCAAAAACTTACTGAAGAAAATATTCCCTTAAAAATTAGAACAGAGCAATTGGAAGCTAGTGACTTTATGAGAAACCAAGACATTGAAAAACAAATCCAAAAGAATGAAAAATTAGAAAACAATGTAAAATATCTCATTGGAAAAAAAAAAAGACCTGGAAAATAGATCCAGGAGAGAGAATTTAAAAATTATTGGACTATCTGAAAGCCATGATCAAAAAAAGAGCTTAGACATCATGTTTCAAGAAATGATCAAGGAAAACTGCCCTGATATTTTAAAACCAGAGGGCAAAATAGAAATAGAAAGAATCCACCGATCTCCTCCTGAAAGAGATCCCCAAAGGAAAACTCCTAGGAATATTGTAGACAGATTCCAGAGTTCCCAGGTCAAGGAGAAAATATTACAAGAAGCCAGAAAGAAATGATTCAAGTGTTGTGTAAACACAATCAGGATAACACAAGATTTAGCAGCTCTTACATTAAGGGACTGCAGGGCATGGAATATAATATTCCAGAGGGCAAAGAAGATAGGATTACAACCAAGAATCACCTACCCAGCAAAACTGAGTATAATTCTTCAGGGGAAAAAATGGTCATTTAGTGAAATAGAGGGCTTTCAAGCATTCTTGATGAAAAGACCAGAGCTGAATAGAAAATCTGACTTTCCAATACAAGACTCAAGTGGAACATGAAGAGGTAAGCAGGAAAGAGAATCATAAGAGACTTATTAAGGTTGAACTGTTTACATTCCTGAATGGAAAGATGATATTTGTAACTCATGAGACCTTTGTCAGTATTAGGGTAGTTGGAGATAGATAGATAGCTGGGTAGATAGATAGAGGGCACAGGGTGAGTTGAAGATGAATGGGTCATATCTGGAGAATAAAATTAAGGGGTGAGAGAGGATTATACTAGGAGAAGGAGAAAGGGAAAGGTAGAATGGAGTAAATTATCTCACAAAAAAAAACAGAAAAGAAAAGGCTCTTACAGTGGAGGGGAACCTGGGGAAGGTGAGAGAAAATGAGTGAATCTTATTCTCATAGGATTTGACTTAAGGAGGAATACTCCTTAATACACACTCAATTGGATATGGAAATCTGTCTTACCCTACAGGAAAAGAGGAGGGGAAGGGGACAAGAGAGTATGGAGATGATAGAGAGGAGGGCAGATTGGGAAAGGGGGTAATCAGAAGCAAATACTTCTGAGGAGGGACAGGGTCAAAAGAAAGAATAGAATAAATGGGGGGGCAGGATAGGATTAAGGGAAATGGAGTTAGTTTTTTACAGCATGTCTACTATGGAAGTGTTTTGCATAACTGCACATGTATAACCTATATTGAGTTGCTTGCCTTTTCAATGAGGGTGGGTGGGGAGGGAGGAAGGGAGAAAATGTGGAACCCAAAGTTTTAAAAACACATGTTTTAAAAAAAGTGTTTTCACATGCAACTGGGAAATAAGAAATACAGGAAATGGGGTACAGAAATCTATTCTGCCCCACAGGAAAATAAAAGGGGAAGGGGGGAAGAGATAGCAGGGAAAGCAGACTAGGGGAAGGGGTATTCAGAATGCACGCCATCTTGGGGTGGGGGGAGGGGTGAGATGGGGTGAAAATGTGGAACTCAAAATCTTGTGGAAGTAAATGTTGAAAACTAAAAATAAAAAAAAAAGAAAGAAAAAAAAATAATTGTCTCAGAGATCAACCAGATTTGACTCAGAGATTGACCCATAAGTTATCATGGACCTACTGGGGACCCTTGTCCTGTGACTCATTAAGCAAGTTACTTCTCATTTCAATGTGGACTCTAAAGCCAACCACCCATTACCCATTTTAAAATATTAAACTCTTTTTTGGGGGGCATCGATAAGTTTCCCAGTCATGATTCATTTTTTTCAGGCCTGATTATTTCCGGAGGAGTGAATTATTATGGTTTCAGAGCTACAGAGCTGGAAGGTCAAACCCTGTGGTACAGATGGGTCAAAGCCATTTCAAGGCTTCTCCCAAGCACTGCAGTCAGGCAGACCCTTCTTAAGATGAATAACAACTTTTATTTGTAAAGTGCTTTTCTCTACCAGCATTCTCTACCAGTACCCAGTTCTCTGGGCTCTCAAAAGCTATACTAATGAAAGGAACCCAGGCCCTGAAAAGCCTACACCAAGCTGGAAATATTTGTTGTCCAAAGACCACCCTGGCTAAGTTTAGAGAGGTTAATCACCAGGACAGTGGCCATTAGGGGATATTTTCTGTTTGTTTGTTTTCCTATAAAAACTCAAGAAGATACTGATCATTCGCCATATGCAACAGGAAATGGGGCTCTTGTACCTGGGAGAAGCCACAGATTGTTCAAGTCCTGAGGTAGGTACAGAACTCTCTACATTTCACAAAGTGTTTTTATGTGTATTATCATCTACCTGCCATTGTGCTCTCCAGATTCCAGACCTTGCCAACTGTTTTGCTGCTGCATCCTAAGGACAACTGAACTTTGCCCTGCAGCTGACCCTCCTATATGTTGTCTTTCCCTATTAGAATGTCAGCTCCTTGAGAGCAGGGAAAGTATCACTTTTCTACTTGTATCCCAAGTGCGTAGCACAGTGATTGACACATAGTACATGCTAAATAATTTCTTATTCACAATCACCTAGTTGGGGTAAGCTGGATTCATAATCTTAAGTTACAGATGAAGAAATTGAGGCTTAGATTTGGAAGGGTCTTCAGAGGTCGTCTAGACCAAGTTCAGCAACTTGGTCATGGTCACATAGTCAACAGCAAGGCCTGGAATTGAACCCAAGTACTCTGATTCCAAATCCAGTCCTCCTTCCGCTGTATCTCTATGCCTTTCAAAAACAATAGTTCACACCACATGCAATAAAAAATGCAGGGGCTCCCATCAGCTCAATGGGAAGCTCAGATTCCCAACAAGGTAACATAGAGCAGATGAGTCAGAAGGTGTATCTCTCATTTTCTTATCCAAGGGAAGTCCTTTCTACTTTGCACTGAGATCAAAGTCTCCACCAGTCAGACCTTGAATTTCACCCTTTGGAGCACAAACAATATAGCTTTCACGCAGGAGCACCACCCGGGTTTGCAGACCCTTTCTGCTGATAAGGTAGGCTTCAGATACGTGCATGACTACTGGATTGCAGGAAGATCAAAAGTAAACCTGCTGAGTGATCAAATGTGAAGATGTAGCGATAGTTACACTGAGGCATTTCAGGAGTCTCCTGGCCACATTCTAAGCATGGAACCCAATCCTTTCAAACAGGGCCTCTGTGCAGAGAAACAAAACTGGGACATCTATCCCAACTTCTACCATTTTACATAGGAAGAAATTAAGGGTCAGAAAGGATCAGTGACTTACCTGGTAGCAGAAATCAGACGAGAGGCAGGTTGATGCCAAGGAGAGAATAGCATACTAGAAGTCAAAACTGCCTCAAACAATTATGTGACCAAGGGATCATAAATCTAGGGCTGGAAGGAATCTCCAGGGTCATCTAGACCAGAGATGTCAAACATACCTAAGGCCTGAACCAGATTAAAATGTAACTGGGAAATATTTAACAAAATAAATAAAAATATAACACAATATTGTTGTTGTTTAGTCATTTTCAGTGATGTCTGACTCCTTGTGACCTCATTTGGGGTTTTCTTGGCAAAGATACTGGAGTGGTTTGTCATTTCCTTCTCCAGCTCATTTTACAGATGAGGAAACTGAGGCAAAGAGGGTTAAGTGACTCATCCAGGATCACATAGCTAGTGTACAAGGCCAGAAAGAGGAGTCTTTCTGACTCCAGACCCAGTGCTCTATCCACTGAACCACCTAGCTGCCCCAAGATCCCCTAAATCCGATGCTATTAATATAACTTGATACTGCTTACAGAAGCTTATATGGCTTCTCAGCCCTTGTACCGATACAACGCAATGAAAAAAAATTAATTCCCCTTGTAATTTTTAGTAGATTTGAAACATACACAGGACTTGAAGGAGTTAAGTAAACAAATTCCTTCTTTTTCTGTGGGACATTCATATAATTATAGATTCAGATTTGGAAGGGACAATAGTCTAATCCCTTTATTTTACAGATGGAAATACTGAGGCCCAGGCAGGGGAGTTGATACATTCAAGATCATATAGGCACTAAATGGCAGAACAGAAATTTGAACCCAGGTCCCCTGACACCAGAATTATACTCCAATGCCTTCTGTTATAGTGTTACTCTACTCTTTGTACTTTTCAAACAACTTTCACAGTCAATATCTCATTCAGTCTTCATAATACTCAAGCAAGGAAGATAATATTTCCACCCAATTAATGGAGGAGGAGACTTAGACCCTGAGCAGTGAAATGACTTGAAGTCACACAGAGAGTGAAAAGCGAAGCTAGGATTCTGAGCAAACTCCAAGATTCAATTAGGCTGACTCAAACGGTACTCCACTGCAGCCTTTCCTCTGCCACAATACACAATGTGAGCATTCCAAAAGACATTCATTCCTGCAGCCACACAACTATGGAGAAAGTGTTCGTGGAGGGAGAAAAGAGGAAACAATGGCTTTAACTACTCTGTTCCTGGCTATGGCTAAAGTTCCTAGAAAGTCAGAGCTGGAAGGAACCTTAGAAATCACCTGGTCCCAACATCCTCATTTTGTAGTTGAGGAAAGTGATACCAAAGGAGGGACTGTAGCTTACTCACAGTCACACTGGTCATTAGCATGACAGCTTGAACTAGACCCCAGGAATTGTGGCTCCCTGTCTAGAAAATGGTGGCCACTACACCGTGGGGCATCTCACCATCTCTGCCTCATTAGCATTGTTTTCTCTTCTGTCTCAACCCATAACCAATACAAAATCTTGAGTGAGCCAAAAATAAAATTCCTTCATTTTACTGTAACTTTTTCCCCAGTATATATAAGCTCCCTGAAGTCAAGGATTTCTTCCATTTTGTCTTAGTATTATTCAATGTGCCTAGCACAGTGTCTGATAAATAACAGGCAACAATGTTTGCTGAATGACCAATTGATTATCGTTAGAGGGTTTCCTAGGACTACGAAAGATTGTGATCTGATAATCACTCCAATGTACAGTGAATCTCTTGTAAAACATCCTCATTCCCCAGCTCCCCATTCCATGAGATTTGCAGACCCATGAGGTCCCACTGCCTTAGTCCCTGAGTGGAAACAGAACCACTTTTTTGTCTGATCCAAGATGAAGCCATGAGCCTCAGACCCCCCCTGGGGTTGAGCATCCACATCCAATGCCTTACCTTTGACCAGAGTGTGTTTGTCTGTGGGGGAGGAGCGAGCGAGGACCCGCAGTTTGGGCCAGATTTTGTCTATTCGTTCCTGTTCAATCTGGAAAAGGGAAGAGAGGGTGGTTATGAGAGTGAAGACCCGTAAGCCAATGTCCTACGAGACGTGGTAGAAGGAACTGGCCATGTTTAGTCTGGAGAAAAGAAGACTGGAAGACATGGGATTTCTATATTCAGCATTTGAAGGACTGTTGAGTGCATGAGGGATCAGATTTGTTTTTTTGATCCCGATGGGCAGAACCAAGAGTGAAGGGTAGAAGTTTTGAAGAGACTGATTTAGGCTTCACATCAGGAAACAACTGCTAACCATTGATGCTCTCTGGAATTGGGATGGGACATCCTGGAGAGGTGGTGCATTCCCTCCTCCGGGAAGGTCTTTAAGAAGAGACAGGACAACCACTCGGCAGGTATAGTAGAGATGCCTTTTAGGTATGGGCTATGCTAGTTGGCTGTGGAGACCCCTTCTAACTCTCAGGTTCCGTGACTCAGGGCTGGGGTCCTTGGAGCCCAGGAAGGTGGGTAATAGCTAATCTCAGCCTTGGTACCGGAGGATGTGGTATGGGAGAATGAAACGGGCAAAGGTGGAGGCTAACTGGACAGACAAAAGAGGAGAAGGAATTGGGAATACCCTCAACCCTCTGTGGCTCCCATGTGGTTAGCGATGCCCACAGCCAATAGGTATTAACTGTGCCCAGCCTGCCAAGGCAGAGATACACAATGATTGGGCATCACAGAACTTTAAAGCTAGAAGGAGCCTTAGAGTGCATAGGATCCAAAGACTTCACAACCATCTAATCCAACCCTATCACTGTACAGATGGAAAAACTAAAATTCGGGTAGGATGGATGACTTGCTCATAGTCACATAGGTATTAAGTATCAAAGGTGAGAGCTGAACCCGGGTCCTTTGGCTCCAAAGATAGTGGCCTTTCTATTATGACACAATCATCCATTTTAAAGATATGGAAACTAAGGCAGAGAAGAGGTTGCCCAGGATTGGGTTACAACCCACTCCAAGGTCAGCTGAATACAATTTGACTAATAGTAATGGCCGTCTCTTCAGAGACCTAGACTTAGAGTTACCTCTCCTTTCTCATTCCTGATTCGCCGGTTGAACTCCTTCCCCTCAATGCAGAGGAAGTCTTCCCCAGGGTGGATGATGCCACACTTGATGGCAATGGCCCGGGCAGTGTTGATATTGTCCCCAGTGACCATGCGGACGGTGATTCCTGCTCGTTGGCACTTCCTTATGGCTTCTGGGACCTGCGGAACGTTGGAGCCAAAACAAGAAGTCATGAGACATACACGACCCTTGAACAATAAACGGTTGTCAAACTGAATGCCAAGGAGGGAGCTCCAGACAGACTGTGCCTTCATGTTCTGGGTGATTCTTAGATCAGGGTGAAGGGAAGAGAGTGGTGGGGATGAGAGTTCCTTTCTTGGGTGCAAAGTAACCTTGGAGCCCCACAATAACCTTTTTCTGATCTAAAATCGGGGTCAAGGAATCCCTAAAATGTTAAAGCCTGGGACTCACTTGCCAAAGATCAAAAATCATAGATTTGAGACCTAGAAAGGAGTCTTGGAGGCAAATGGAGTCCAATGCCTCCCATTTTGCAGATGAGGAAACTGAGGTACAGAGAAATTAAGTAATTTGCCTATGGTCACAAAACTAGTAAGTATCTGAAGTACAGTTTAAATCCGTGTCCTTCCGACTCCAAGTCATCCACTATTGAATGCTGCCTATTTAGAGTTTGAGTTTTAGAGCTGAAGGAGACTTAGAGACCACCTAATTCTTATTTTACAAAAGAGGAAACTGAGACCCATAGAAGGGAGCTGCTACAACTGGTCAGCGATAGGGCCAGGACTCTGATTTTTAGTAGTCTGCGACCACTCTCCTCCATTAACCACCTGACCACTAATGGGATTTGTTCAACAGTCTGGGTGGTCAACATCCTGCTGTGTTGACCTTGTGAAAGTTGGTGGCTGATGGCCAGTCACACAAAAGACACACACTTGCTTCTGACAGCTGGTGTAGTCTTTCTCCTGCTGTCAGAATGCCATAAGATGAGTTGTCTAGAACCTCGGTGACCACAATGAGAAGGGTGCCAATCTCAGGTCAAGTACCAGGATAGCCTTTAAGATACAAGAGCTATCGGGAGACAAAACATCCTCTAAAGGTTTTCTTTTCTTAAAAAACCACAGATGTGTTACATGGAGAAGGAGGGGAAGAAATGTCACAAAACCTCCTAAATGGTAGAAAGCAACAGAAAAAAACTGGCCAGCAGCACAGGAACTTTGAAAACAAGATGATTTTCTGACAACATGCAGCAATGTTCTCTCCACTAGAGTCATCATCAACTCATCCCCCTCCCCCCCACAACCAATCAGATACTAAGTCCAGTTGCTTCTCCCTACACATCCATGTCCCAACCACTCATTCAGAATCATGTAATATCAGAATAGGAAAGAGCCCTAAGAGATTCTCTAGTCTGATGCACTCATTTTACAAAGACAGCTCAGTTTAGAGCCCCTACAGAATTGTCCTTTCTAACAAATAAGTACCGTGGAGCAAATCAAATCAGTGCACTGGCCATGTGTGAGGATATACGTATGCCTCATTCCATACCTATGGGTGGGATGCTGAGAGGCAGGAGGCATGTGTCAGTCCTCTGAGTTTAGGATTTACTGTTGTATTGATCAGTTATTACATCTTTCATTGTTGTTTTCCTTGTGGTTATTGTATAAATTACAGTCCTGGTTCTGATTATTTTACTCGGTCTGTATTTTCTTTTTCAAATTAATTTGCTTCCTTGGGTCTCTGGTCGTCAGGACTGTCATGACGTTGGGGGAATAGGAATATGAAATTGGTCCCCTTATGTTCAATAAAATGCAATGTGTGTTATCATTTTCCATCATAAAAAGATTTAATGCATCCTTCCTTAACTGCCCTTTAATGTTATTATTATTAATATATGTCATTATTAATAAGAGGCAAGTTGTTGCAGAAGAAAGAACACAGAGTGAGAAAGGAATAAAAATTAAAAGACCCAATTTCCAGGCTCCATTAAGAGCTATTAAGGCAGGCCTCTTCACATCTCCAGACTTAGCAGACCAGACCCCCATTCAGGAAGATAATAGGTTCAAATCTTGTCTCTGTACTAGTCAGGGAACTCTGGGAAAATTACTAATATTTTCTCAGTTACCTTTGCCAGAAAATTGGGAAAATAATAACTGTAGCATCTACCTCAAAGGAGCATTTTGAGAATAAAGTGAGATGATTATGAAAAGCATTTGGGAAATCTTACACCGCATAAATGCCAGCTACTATTATTAAAGAGAGGAAAACTGAGGCCTACCATGGAGAAATGAGTTACCTGAGTTTACACAGTTAGTCAATGGTATAGGCAGAGTATGAACCCAGATGTTCAATTCTAAGTCTCGTGTTCTTTCCAATGCATCCACTCTGCTGGTGGTGATGAGGGAATATCAGGGCCATTCTAGGGGGATCACAGACCTGCATCTGTTGAAAGGATTTTAGAGGTCATGGAGTTTATCCCCAGGGGTGATGGTGGATAGAGTGCTGGGCCTGGAGTCAGGAAGACTTGAATTCAAATCTCGCCTCAGATTTTTACTAGCTATGTGACTCCAGACAAGTCACTTAACCTCCGTCTGCCTTAGTTTCCTGACTATAAAATCAGGATAATAATAGCGCCTACCTCCCAGGGTTATTGGGAAGACCAAATGAGATATTGATTATAAAGCATTTAGCACAGCTCCTGGCACATAGTAGGTGGTATACAAATACTTCTTCCCATCTCCTTTTCTCTTCATTTTAAAGATGAATAAACTAAGGCTCAGAGACATTAAGTGACTTGCACTCAGGAGTGCTGGCAAAAAGTAAATCATACTGTTTGTGTGCCTTTGTTCCTCTCCCAACAATTCTTATCCACAAAATCATAAGAAGGCTTAAAAGACCTTGGAAAAGAACTCTGAAAATAGTCTGAAGGATGAGGTAGTCCTATCCTTTGGCCATTGTGTGCAGCAGTGAAGTACAGTAGCAAAAGAACAGAATTTGGAGTCAGAAAACCTGGGTTTGAGTCCCAACTCCACCACTTAATACTTGTGTGACCTTGGGCAAGTCACTTAATCTTTATGGGACTCAGTTGTCTCATCTGTCTCATCTGAGAGAGTCAGACCCACTGGCCTCAGGCCTTTTCCAGGTCAAGTTCTATGATCCTATGATGGGGTGAATGTCTGTGGGAAGATGATGAGTTGATGGTTTGTATATAGGCCTCAGATCTCTAAAGTGTTGATTTCAGAGCATCAGGAGCTGATAGGGACATTGAAGATCATCTAATCCAGAGACTGTTACCTGACGGGGTGGGCTGTAAACTTGATTTTTCAAAACATTTTGATAACTGCATTTCAGGACAACTAGTTTTCTTTGTAACCTTACGTATTTGATTTTCTACGTTTAAAAATATTTTTCTGAGAAGAGGTCCATAGGCTTCACCAGATGACAAAGGGGGTCCATAATACAAAAAAGGTTAAGATCCCCTGAATCCAACTCCCTCATCTTAGGGGTTAAGAAGGGGAAATGGAGGCTATGGAGCACTACTTGAATACCATCCAGAGGGAGATCGTGCCTTGAAGCAAGGAAGACCACCTTGGACATATAATGGCTACATGACCAGTCATCTACTGCTCAGAGCTTTAGGAAACCCCCTAAGACAAGTTGCAGAGATCTGCATTGGTTAAGAGAATGTTCTTACATGGGAGTTCCTAATGAAACCAAAGGTCCAGGCCCTATCCCTAGCTCTCAATATCAGCTATTTTTATTACAAAGGAGAAAACCGAGGCCTACCGATAGAAAGGTAATAAGAGGCAAAGCTGGGATTCAAATTCAGGTCTTCATAATCCTGATCTCTACCATGCTGCCTCATCAGGCTTTGTGGTGGTGGGGGGGGGGGGCCCCTCTTTTTCTCCTCTCTTCTGCTAAGCACCAGAACATCTCCTTCTCCCCTCCTAATTAAGCAGCTTGGATAGAGTGCTGGGCCTGAAGTAAGAAAGACCTGAGTTCAAATGTGACCTCAGATACTTGTCAGCCATGTGACGCTGGACAAGTCACTTAACTCCTATCTCAGTTTCTTCAACTGTAAAATGGTGGTAATAATAGCACCTTCCTCTCAAGGTTGTGTGAATCAAACGAGATAATTTTTGTAAACTGCTTAGCATACAGTAAGAATTTAATTAATGTTTGTTCCCTTCCTTTCCCCCCATCCCCACCAGCATGAAACTAGGAGAAGTCCTCTCAGTTTAGTTTTCCTGGAGAAGACCCTGAGCACAGCATTGGTAGAAAATAAGACCATCTTTCAATTTACCTTTGAGAATACATTCACTCAAGACAAATTTACTCATAATAATTTTTAATCCAAGAGAGCATAAATGGTTTTGAATGTGAAGATGAATGAAAAACAAAAGCAGCATATAATTATTGCTGCCAAGATGAGGTAGGGGCTGCTGGGAGCCACAGTTATGCCTCCCCCTCAAAAACCCCCACAACCTAATTTTGCAGAATAAATATGTAATTGATGTTGTCTTTGTAAAAGTCCTCCCTCTGATTTTCAGGAGATTCCCCTGAAGGCTTGAACTAAGCAGCTGAAGAATAGGAAAGATTTTGTTTTGTTGAAAGTAAAGGAAGGAATGCTTAACCACTGATCACCCTTGTCAATTAGTCTTAGCAGGGATTGGAGAGGTGGAAAGGATGAAATTCTATCAGAATCTGCCTGGAGCTGCAGTAATCAGATGCTAATTTCTCTGGACTCTCCATAGATCTCATTTTAGAACCAAGGCATTGTTGAAAGAGGAAGGAGTGGTGGGAAAGGCGTGAAGTCTGTGAAGTCTCGAATATCTTCCAAAATCCCAATTTTTAGAAAATATATGCAAAAGCTAAATTCACAGTACAAAGGCATTCAAACTGTGGCTAAGTCTTCCAATTTTATAGGTTCAAGGACAAGAAGGATTCCCCACAGATGAAAAAAAAAAACTGTGCCAGAAGCTTCTGTTTTCAGGTAATCTAATGCTGATTTCATTGATGTTGGGCATATTTTAGGGCCTCCTCAACTACATTTGTGATTACTCAAAAGAAAAAGGCCTAACAATCCACACAGGGAAAACCAAGTGGATAAAAAAATTGCTTATCAACTACATTATGACATGAAAGTGTTTGATTTAGTTCATCTTGAGCAGGCACAGCAAATAGA